CCTCCATCATTGATAATCCCAAGGCACCAGGGTTGGTGGTCGGACTTTGCCTGGGCCCACAAAGAAGGTGTCCCTGTGGGTAGAACACAAAACACAATTTTTTTCCAAAGTCAAAGATCCAACACCACTAGCCAACAAATCAGATGTAATTTATAAAATTCCATCCCCTCAGGGTAGCGTTCTGGCCCCTACACTGTACCAGGTTTTCACAGCTGACATGCCATCTCATCCCGAAACCACCACATTCACNACGATAGCTCAAGTGGTAGAGCAGCGGCGTATCTAGCCGAAGATCGTGGGTTCGAATCCCGCTCGTGCCATTAACTTTTTTTCATCTCAACTAAAAACCTTAATTAATTATAATGTATTAATTGGTCAAGCGGACCACGAAATTAGTGAATTTATTAAATAATAAAAGAAATACTGACCGATTTGATGTCATAAGTAACATGTAAACGGGTAAAAAAATTAATGAAACAAGGGTGTGTATTTATGGGTCGACGTATGTGATAACAGTATTTATTACCAAAAGCGTGAACCAATTTAATTTATGTAATTTCTTTGTTTTACAATCGGCAAAAAAATATAATAAACAGTGCCAATCGTCATGGACGTAACAGCTGCGGTCGATCTGCCGTCACCCGTTCCCCTCGTAACATAAAATAATGGTACACATCATGGGCGGTTTTTGGCCTCGTGTGCAAAAAGTGTCAATTTGCCTAACCGTCGACGTCAATTAGTGAGGTTGCCGTGAAAGTCACGGGGCGGGCGGAAAGGTCGGCAATTTGCAGACGGACGTCGTTTCACTTTGATGCTGATTTCGCTCTTTTTCACCCCAGTAGCGGTGTCAACCCCAAAACGAAACCGCCTCATTATCGGCCTTATTTGCAAATGCCTCTTCCCCGGCTCGGCTCAAACAAATAACGACACCGCGGAAATGGCGTTAAATAAAAATAAAACAGATGAATCTCCCCTCGACGATCGCCGGGGGTGATGCCCGTAGTTAACCGGCCATCACGACTCTTCGATTTTCCTCCTGTCAGCGATGATGTATTTCGAGGGCACTTGTGGCCCGTGTTGGTGGCGGAAAGTCCACCCCTGTAAGCCGGAAACGAGTGCGGTAAACGACACGAAGCCATTATTTAAAAACAGGGCTCTAGAAGATAAGGCACGGGTGGTGCTCGAGCAAATGCTCCTGCAGCACATTTCTTCTTTTTGGACCGGGGCTTCCCTTTCGCCCACATCAACATTTATACAAGTGAACCTCAACGGCTGCTTTATCTTTCCGAAGCCCTAGACCCTCAAAATATAATTGTCTAACGAGAAAGACGATGTGGGCGCTTGTTCAGCCGACTCTTATTCGATTCCTTATCAGACTAAGCTTTATGTAACAAAAGACGAACTAACAAACTAAAGACATGTTCGGAAAACAAAACACGTGCTCATTATGAACCATCTTTGATGATGCGAGTTAAACCAATTCATCTAACTAGACCTATTTACCATCTGTAAGAATCTCGTGTTGTATGCGAGGTTTGGTCGTTGCCGATCTTTTTGGTCTGCTTATCCTTTCTGGGTGGGGTCGTCACACGCTTTTCACCAACTTCAGCGTTAGGTCTGAGCAAGAAAAAAAGGCAAAAGTTCCAAATAGTCGACAATATAATTTTGCAGCTGATACATCTTTGGCACCATGGCACTATAATGCATTTCAGCTTTTTACTATCCTTAATATTGGATGCACAAAGAACCACTGATGATGGTGCATTGGACAGTCCAATTTGAACCGACCAAAACTGATCAGTAAAACCATTATGGTAATAACCATATTTTTCTGTATACTCCCTTAACTTTTTATTCGTCTTCTGTTTTAAAAATTTCAACAGTTACAAACAGTAATGGCTTATTAGGTAATTAATCTTATCTAGTCTTCAATATAATATTGCAGCTGATACCTTTGGTACCATGGCACTTCAAGAGCTCGTAACTAATTTGTCTTTTCTTAACATTTTAATATGCTTCCTTATTAGACACATCTCAGCTGTTCACCATCTTCAATGTTGGGTCTGAGTAAATAGACACAAAAAATCAACACTGAAGATGGCATATCTAACCGACCAACGCTGCCGGTATAAGCAGGCAAAAGTTGATCAGTATAAACAGTATAGACCCATGTTTCTATACAGTTTCTTAACTTTCTTTTAAGCTTCTGTTTTAAAAATGTCAATGGTTGCAAACAATCTAAAATATAATATTGCAGCTGATACCTTTGGCACCATCACACTTCAGGAGCTCTTAACTAATTTTTGTCTTTTCTGAACATTTTGGTCTGCCTATCCTCAGAGGATTGGTCTGTCAGAAGCGTTTCAGCTTTTCACTTTCCTCAATATTGGATGCACAAAGAACCAACACTGTTGATGGTGCGTTGGACCAACCAAAACTGATCAATAAAACCATTATAGACCCATTTTTTTGTACAGTTGCTTAACTTCTTCTTAAGCTTTTGTTTTAAAAATGTCAATGGTTGCAAACAGTCTAAAATATAATATTGCAGCTGATACCTTTGGTACCATGGCACTTCAGGAACACGTAACTAATTTCTATCTTTTCCTAACATTTTGGTATGCCTCCTTGCTAGGTTGGTCTGTCAGCTGCATTTCAGCGTTTCGTCATCTTGTATATTGGTTCTGTATAAGATGCACAAAGACTCAACATTGAAGATAGTAAAAAACTAAAGCATCCGAAGACCAAGCATAGGTATCTGACATTTCTAGTATAATTATATATACAAAATAATTATATTGGGAGATTTTTCTATATGGTCTTCAAGGGATGTACATGTAATTTGGTCAAAACTGATTATTTGATCTACCCAACCTCAGGCTGACCAACCCAGCAGAAGAAAACAGAAAAAGAAGTAGTTTGTAAGGAACACCATTATATGGTTACAAGAGGTTCAATTAAAGAAAAAAAATACTCAAAAGGGGAGCGTCAGTGGGATACATTTTTAAAGGAAATAAAACTGGGCCAAAAGGCAGTTAAAACTCATGTTTCACATTTACATAATTTCTCTGCTTCACTGAAAAACATTTTATCTTGGATATGTAACCAAATCCTACATATATCTTATTGCCTAACCTAACCTAATCCAGTCTAAACAGCGTAAGACTGGGCCATAAAAAAGATATAAATCTTATAATTTAAACTTTTATTTTGTCTATGCAATGGATGATGTATGTAAAAGCTTGGCTGACATGGCAGCACCATGCTTTTTACTTAAAATATTGGTGTCTTGGGGAAGTTTCCCTCACATTCCTAACCTAACCCAACCCAGCCTAAACAGCCTGAGAACGCATAAATCTTGGAATTTAAAGTTTTATTTTTTTGTATGTGTATTATAGATGATGTACACAAAAGACTTGACTGACATGGCAGGGTCGTGCTTTTATTGGGATTGCAGGGTCTTGGGGAAGTTTTCCTCAAAATCCTAACCTAACCCAACCCAGCCTGAACAGCCTAAGAATGGGCCACAAAAGGCAAAAATCTTAAAATTTAAACTTTTATTTTATTTTTTAGCTAAATTTTAATTAGTTAAGTCTTGTCAGAAAAAAAATATGCCTTGCAAAAACATATTAGATAGAAACTTATGGATCAATGTGTGAGGATTTCGACAAGAAAACAATGAAAATCGTAAAATAAAAATTCTTACTATATTTTCAATTAATTAAGGTTTTGGTTGAGATAAAAAGTCAGTGTCACAAGCGGGCTTCTAACCCATGACCTTTGGCTAAATAAGCCGCTGCTCTACCACTTGAGCTATCGTGATTTCGATCCACTCCACACTTGAAAAATGGCAAAAAGGAGGTACAATTCAAAAGGTGGGGTTGAGATGAGAAGTTGGTGCCCAAGTGGATAAAAGACGCGATAGCTCAAGTGGTAGAGCAGTGTCGTATTTAGCCAAAGGTCGTGGGTTCGAATCCCCCTTGCGACACTGGCTTTTTTATCTCAACCAAAACCTTAATTAATTGGAAAAGTATTTATTGGTCGACCACGGTGGACCACGAAACCTAATAAAAATAAATTCTTACTTCAGGTTTATTTTTCAGCAAATATGACACTTCGCGCATATGGACCAGGCTTGGAGGATTTTTTTTTCTTTTTTTTATACTTATTCAGATATCGTGAGATGCGGTCGGGTATGATGTAGGTTTCAGAAAAACATTTTCTTTATCGTGCCAACGTTTCGATCTTTGTTGAGATCATCTTCAGGGCTCAAAGTGTTTGTCTTCTGTGTAATTGTGCCATCCTAGTGTGTCGTGTTGAGAGTGTTTTTTTTATACATGGATCAAATTGTAAAAGTCTGATAAATGTTTTCGTCTCTTTTGCAAGTGGCGGTTAGCTGTTTTTTAATTTTTATTTATATTTTTTTGGAGCTTTTATTTATTTTTTTTATTTTATGAGGGTTCGCTACAGCAGAGGTCATATAAATCATCAGGGTGCCGGTGTTTTTAAAAAAAAAATCGTTTGTAAGTATGTCGGGTTCGAATGCAGGGGGGCCTTTACCTTACAGTGATGAGCGCCGTGTCAACGCCTGAACCGTTGCGGCCACCGACGCCCCGTCCTATATTTTGGAGTTTGTTTGTTTTTTAATAAAATTGTCAATCCCCCCCCCTTCAGGCCAAGCTTTTCAGTGGGCTGATGAAGGCTTCGAGGCACCCATATTACTAACAGAAAATAAAAAAAAAACTTTTTTATTACTTTCAATAAACTTTAGAAAAATACATATATAAAACTTAGGATAATATAGAATTGTTCAGTCTAAAAGGAATAATTAAAACTATTTCACAAATCAAAGTGGTTATACTTATTGTGATTACAATTAGTAAAAACTGTCTTTTTTGGTTTTAAAATAAAAAATAAAAGTTATCAAACAAATAAATTAAATAATATAACATTATATTACAGTACATTTTTTACACCAAATAATTCAAATTGGTCAATAAAACATGTTTTTTGTTCTTTAAAGAAAAAACATTTAAACAGTTAAAATCTGAAGAGGGTAAAATTTTTTCAAAACTGTATTCGCCCATACGCAATGTGGTGCTACTGCTTCCGAAAACTCTTTAGGATTGGGAACATATTGTCCAGGCCTTCGTGGATATCGCTTCGGTTTTTCGCTCCTGATCGGGGGAAAAGAAAATTGGAACAATAATAAAATGATAAAAGAATTATGTATTAGGACTGTTTTACCTGTTACGACAAGCTTCCCGTTGACAAAAATCAATATGACTATCCTCGGTTTTACCATTCTGTAAATTAAAGCAGGAAAAAGTTCTGGCTCATAGCTGCAAAAAAACTTACAGGTTTTTAAACAAGAAATATATTAATTTACAAAAAAAAAAGCATCTTGGTGTTATCATTTATCCACTACAAATAGATAATTTGTAAGTTTTAAACAAACATTTGTACTTATTCTTCATAATGGGATTAAAATAATCATGTTGAGTGGTCAATAATAGATTTAATCAATATTGATAACTGATGAGTATGGTATTGGTCTTCAATGATAAATAATAAAGCTAGGAGATCAGGGATGAAGCCATGAAGGTAAAAAAATTGGTTTTTGATGGCGAGTTTTTGGCTGTATTTGATGCCCTCCTCAGGGCTCTATTTAATTAAGAGCAATTTTTTATTACAGGATATATAAATTTATAATTATTGTTCAACTAACTCATTTGAAAACCGATTTAAAAAAAAAAAAAATTTACGATTAGCCCAGACAAGTAGTAATAATGCGGTCTCATTTTTGCCAAATTTTGAAGCATAGGAAAAAAACAAATATCTACAGACAACTTTCTTGTAAAAAAACAAAAAAAAAAAGATATATTATAAATAATAAATTACATACATTATTATAAATTTCTTTGAGTATTTTTTTCAGAATGGAATGCATTATCCTAGTTTACATCCTATTGAAAAAAATAATTTCACTGAACGAGTGTTTCGCATTACGAGTAAGATTCGGGAACAAATTATGCTCGTTAAGAAAGGTTCCAATCTATTTTAAATCGATACAGATGATGAAGTATTGTTTTAATACCTGCTAAATTGTCCATGTATTTGGTGAAGGTTCTCCAGCCTCAATGGAAATCTAAGATCGCACGTTGCGACCATATTATGAATTTTAAAATTGATAAATTTAACCTAAAACAATAGTTTAATAATTATTGTTACAAATTAATTGGGCTGTTTAAAGAAAAAATAAAACTCACAGGAAAACCAAGTTTTTGTATGATTCTCGCGTACTTTCGACAAGCCAGTACAGCATGCTCTTCGTGTTTGACACCAGTCACTACTATCTTACCGGAGCTGAATATAAGAGCGGTCGACCTCGGGTTCACCAGTCGCATCACGACACCGCAGAACCTCTTAGGGTTGTATTCAGAGTTTCTCGTCCTGAAGTTAATCTTCTGCAGGTCAAGATTGCAATCAAGGTTCACCGTACAGACAACATTCCTAAATATTTTATTCATTACATATTTTATATAATGTATATACTATGTATGAAATGTACGTTATTTTAAGGCGAGAAAACTTACTGAATTTTCGGAGTCGGGCCTATTTCAACATTGGCACCGGACGGCGCCAAAGGAACTACATCTTCATGTGGGTTTGACGGTTCTGAGGTGGAATTCAACCTTTGCAAAGTACCCTGCAAATATCAATAATTCATCATTCATTGGTTATTAATAAGGCAAAAATTTACTTACAGGTGATAAAGAAGATAAAGGAGGCTGCATTAACGCCTGGGTCAAATGTGGCGTACCATTGGTAACCACCGGATTTTCCATCCTGACTCGTCAAATTTCAATATATTTTCGATATATCAAACTAGCTGTAAATGTGTGGTGATTAGTGACCGTTAATCGATATTTATTTAGAAATCATGAGATGCGGTCTGGTGTGATGTAGGTTTCAGAAAAACATTTTCTTTATCGTGCCAACGTTTCGATCTTTATTGAGATCATCTTCAGGACTTGGGATTTAAGAACATTGTTTAAATTTAACAAATACATGTAGGATGTAGGAAAAAGGTGAATTTATACAATGCAAAAAAATCCTTTTTTATATTCAATCAAAGTATTTCTACTCACTCAAAGTGTTTGTTTTTTTTGCGTAATTGTTCCAGTCTTGTGTATCGTGTTGAGAGTGCACACTTTGAGCCCTGTAGATGATATCAATAAAGCTTGAAACGTTGGCACGATAAAGAAAATGTTTTTCTGAAACCTACATCACACCAGACCGCATCTCACGATTTCTAAATAAGTAGCTGTAAATGTTTAAAATAATTTTGGAAAATAATAAGTTTTAAGCTTCATAAGTAAATAAGTTTGAAAGTTTAGTTTCAACTCAGTTCGATATTGTTTTCCTGTGACAAAAGTATGTAACAGCCCAAAATTTAACAACAAAAGCATACCCTCGTTCAGTGGAAATGTGTGTAGGTCAAAAAAACAAAGTTGAGTACCAGTCATTCTATTTATTAAAACAGAACGAAAAAATAAATGAAATTAAAACTCCCCTGCACAGAAAAGAGAGGAAAACACAAATTTAAAGATTCTAACTCACCCTTAATCTCTAGATGACCCCACGAAGGGTTGGTTTTGTGTACAAAAAAAAAATAAAATAAAAATACTCCTCAAATCATACCAAAAGAATTCACACTTTTATTAAAAAATAAATTAATTAAATAAAAATAATAATAATAAATAAATAAATCTGAGTTCTATGCTACTTAAAACTGAAGAAAAATGGAAAAAAACATCGTTCAAGTCACACACAGAAAACTATAGCTTCAGGTGGCTACTGGTACTCATTTCCCTGAGAGTAACCTCTGGCAGATTCCCCTGACTCCTTCTCACCCTAGATGGTGGAAAAGTTGTCTTTTTCAGCCTTGAAGTCCTGTCCAGGATTCTGGCTTCAACTGCACAGGAGGCAAATCTGACAAACCGCTGCCCTCTCCTTAGGCCTACCAGACTGAATTCGCCTCCCGAGCCTGTGGAAAATTTCCTCGTTACAGCCACAAATCCCCTTCTGGGACTCATCCTTATCACTTGATGCAGGATGGTCTTGGCTGCCCATGAGGAAAATCCGGCGGAACGCCGATACCTTTTTCCTGTCCCCTCGAGTTTGCTGCATATGACTTGTCTCGTTCAACTCACACCTTCTTTAATTTAAATTATATTGAAACAAAACCATCCTCATTCTCTGTTTGACTAATTTTAGTCCTTACTTATGTGTCTTCTATTCCCTGGTTTTTCTCTCCTCTCTTCTAGGTACCCAGGATACTTTTGAATGCTGAGGAGGGATCTTAGGCACTTATTTTAAATGATAAGCAAAAGATTAATCTTTAATTAAGGTATTGGTTGAGATAAAAAGTCATGCCACAAGCAGGATTTGAACCCACGATCTTCGGCTAGATACACTGCTGCTCTACCACTTGAGCTATCGTGACCTCGATCCACTCGAACACCAACTTCCCATCTCAACCCCTCCTTTTTGCCATTTTTCATTTTTATCTCAACCAATGCCTTAATTAAAGATTAATTAATTGAAAATAAGTTATTTGGTCAATCGGACCAAAAAAACCTAATCGATTTGATAAACAAAAGGTTAAATTGTATTTCTAAAATGTAAAATAAAAACTGTAAACTTCAAACTCAAATTAATAAAATATAAGGTCCAGGACAAAAAGATGGTATACCATACTATTCTGGGTATATAATTTTTTTAAATTAATTTTTTTGATAATAAACGGCTTGGTTTGTTATATTTTAAATTATCTTGTTAATTAGCTGCCAATAAAATATTACTCTCTGGAAATAGTGCTAAATATTAATTTTGAGGTGGGACAAAAACACATCTTTAGGATAAAACATAAATAAAATATTAAAAAAACACTTAAAATGACAAAATAATTCTAATATCTAGTACAAGCTCCACCTTTTCCAGCCCAGTTAGCATCCAATTTGGAAGGTCGTAGAGGCGACAAATATCTTGACAAAATTTCATCTTACCATTCTTACTGGAACATGCGAAAAAGTCCAAGATGTTCCTAGGCATTTTTAATTATATTAAAATCTGGAGACCTAGCTGGACATTCAAAAACTTGATTTTTATTTTCCTTAAAAAAAAAAAAAAAAAAAAAAAAACAAACCTTTTACCCTTAAAAAACTTCTATTTAAAATAACTCTTCTAATCCTTAATTCTCGATATAAAAACTCCGATCACTAAAATCCAACAAAGTCATCGCTTGGTAGAAATTATTTTCTCCTCCCTTGAGATGGAGCAGTACTGTTCTGGGGGCTTTCTCGACAACAAGCTTTTTATCGTAAGAAGCACCCGGACTTCTTTTCATGCTCGAGGCATCCTTCCTTCCATCTACTATCCCATACTACACAGTTACTTCACTGACTGGACTTTACGAGTCAAGACTATCCAGAAAAACAATTCCTGCTCTTCATATTTCCTTATCCTTGCTGTCGTAAATCAGAGTAGCATTACGATCCCCACATTGTACAAGGTGTATATAGCCGTCATTCCGCCCAAAACGTACAAACTTCACACTGCTAGTCTTGATGTGACAAGAATAAAATTTAATACAGACAAATCCACCCTTAATATCTTCACTCTTTGTAAAAAAGATCACCTGTCAAGTCTATTTAAATAATTCTTCTCCCAGCTGTAGACAAAGTGCATCTGTACATATCAATACACTTAACATGGAATTTTCACCCATAACTGAAACATCAAGAAGTTATGACACAATATAGAGCTTTTGCATAACTTCTTGACTTCTGATTTACCACTCAAAAATAAAAGGCTGCTTTACAATACCATGATTAAACCGATATGAAATTGCAGAATGGAAATGTGCAGTTCCATCATCCACTACACTGCCCATCCTTAATCCTATGAAAAATCCTCTGTTTTATTTTATATACAAATACAGACTTATGGTACTGTATGGTATGGTGATAAAGATACTAGGAAGCGGGTTTTGTTCTCCCCAAGCAATGCAGCCTTGTGGCTTATTGTGCCTTCCTAGTTCCTTAGTTCAGTGCAATAGACTCAATCCTTCTTATTGACTGTCACTGCTAAAATTTCATTCCCTAGGTTTTTTCATACGTTGAGCTGTTGCTTCGCATTCAAAGATGATGTGGGTGGCTGTTTCCTCCTCCTCATTACCCTACAGATTGGATCATCGTTGTATATGCCCATGTTATATAGACGTTTTCTCAGATGCCTCTGAGTCTAGCCCTATCCAGTTGCAGCAGTGATTTTGCCAGTCTTGGTGAGGGTTGTTTCATCATAAGTTTACTATGTCTAGCACCGCTAGAGTTTATCCACTTCTCCTTTTGTTTAGTTTGAATCCATTCTGCGATGGAGGATTCTATATTTGTTTTTGTTATCTTAAGTATAGGTTCATGGCCTATGTCCTTCTCTGACCCGTCTGCTTTCCCGTTACCCAAAATTCCTCCCAGGCACCCAAAATATCAGGTTGTTGTGTCTCCCCAGGTTTTGGAGATTTTGGATGCATTCACTGACTAATTTTGATATGATTTTTTACTTGCTAGTGCTTTAATAGCTGCTTGGCTATCAGATCTTATGAGGATTTTTTTTGCCAGTGCAACTTCTTTTAAGATCTTCCAGGGCACAAGATTGATGGCATGTATTTCTACTCGAAAGACCGAAGTGTACTTCCCTAATGAGTTTGAGTGCTCATGTTTTGGGCTTGTACAAAAAACACCCGACCCAGTTTTTTCGTTTGTTTCGGAGCCATCTGTGTACCATATCATTGTATCTGATGCCCTCCTGTGTTCTTCCTGTCCTTTATAGTCCATCAAGACTTTGTAGGATGTTGTAAAGAGTGCTTTTGGGGTCGTGTAGTCAAGTCTCCATTTGTAAAAATGGGCGTCTGATTTTGTTAATTATGGTTGTATGCTTGAATTGACTAGTTCCTATTCAATTTGATTGTTTCTGGAGCCTAAATGAGCTTTTCCTAGCATCTCCTAGAATAAATATTCCCAGTGGAGGTAGGTTTAGCAGAATTTCTGATATTAGAAGATATAAAATATTGTCTTAACATTATTAAATAGTGTAACCATGAAGTCTATCAACTTTATGCTACTTTCTCATCATTAGTTGTTTTCCCAGGTTTTGGAGAATTTGGCATTCGTCATCGCATGTTATTAGTTATGATTGTATGCCCGAATTGTCTAGTATCTATCCAATTTGGCCCTGGCACCCAAAATATCATCAAGTTGTTGAGTTTCCCAGGTTTTGGAGTTTTAGATGCATTCACGGACAAATTTTGATGTGATTTTTTACATGCTCATGCATGGCTGCTTGGCTATCAGATCTTATGAGGATTTTTTTGCCAGTGTAACCTCTTTAAAGATTTTCCAGAACTATATTTTTGCCCAAATCTGTAGGAAAATGCTTGAGACAAAAATCATGGGAAAAAGGGTGGCATTGTGTTGGGTGAAAGGGCATGCAGGCTTGTGGCAAAATGAAACAGTGGACGCACTTGCAAAGGAGGCTGCAACATCAGGTCCAACCCTTGACATTAAAATTCCTAAAGATGACGGGAAAAACTTTTTGGAAAAGTTTTGTAGAAATCTGTGGCAAGAAAAATACAACGCATCAAATGTTGGCAATTATTACAGGTCACTGTTCCCTGAGCTCAAGAAAAAACCATGGTTTTCGGAAGGCGATAGCCCAGAAGGAATGTCAAAGGAGTTCTATTCTACTATTTTTAGACTGAAGACAAATCATGGCCTATGGGGTAGCTACAAGAAGAGAATCGGTTTGGCATCGTCTCCGAACTGTCCCACTTGCGATTGCCCTTCAAATCCTTCCCACATAATTTTTGAATGTCCAGAATATGAAAATGAAAGAGACAAACTGCTAAAAAATCTGAGCAAAGTCCCAAACATTTCCAAACCAATAAACTTAGAATCTGTCCTAATAAGCAACAATCCATCAGCTTTCAACATAATCTATGGATTTCTAAAGTCGATAAACGTTTCTTTTTGATTATCTTCAACCATGAAAATTTAGAAGATGATGGAGCTGAATGAGTGGTGTGGGTGCGCGGCGGGGACCTGGCCCTGGTTGGCCGATCATGCTGGACAGTAAAATGAAAATAGAAAACTTCATGGGTAATATGCCAGCATAACCCCCCCCCAAAAAAAAAGATTTTCCAGGGCACAAGCATTGATGGCAGTATTTCTGCTTGAAAGACCGAAGTGTACTTCCCTAATGAGTTTGATTGCTCATGTTTTGGGTTGTATAGTAAATGTCTGATCTGGTTCTTCGTTTGTTTTCGAGCCATCTGTATATAATTGTGTCTGATGCCCTCCTGTGTTCTTCCTCTCCTTTATAGTCCATCGAGACTTTTTAGGATGTTGTAAAAAATGTTTCCGGGATCATATAGTCAGTCCCCATTTCTAGGAATGGGTGTCTGATTTTGTTAATTATAGTAGTATGCCCGAATTTAGTTCCTTAGTTCCTATCCAATTTAATTGTTTTTGGTGCCTAAATGAGCTTTTCCTAGCCTCTCCTTGTATGAATATTTCCAGTGAAGGTAGGTTTAGCAGAATTTCTAGTGAATTTGTAAGGGTTGTTCTCATCGCCCCTGTGATACATAGGTTTGCTAATCTTTTTATGCTGCCTAATGTTTGAGTAGCTGCTTTTTGTACATACAGACTTAAATATTCCCTTCGTTCAAGATGAAATCTGTTCCCGAAATCATAAACATCACAAAAACCCTCCCAATGATTGAAAATCCGTTCAAACAAAAACTCGCATCCCGACAAATTCCCTCGAACTGTCTTCGCCGACTAAAGAGTGAAATATCCAATGCAGTGGCAATGACAAAAGTATTAATTTTAATTAAACATACACAATTTCAGCACAATTGGAGAACTACCAATGAGTATTTTCTCCACTCTTGTTTTTAATTTTGCATTATTTCCTATCTCGTTGCACGCTACCAATTGAAGGTACTTGTAATTTAATGCAAATTTTAAAAAAATATTTAAAAAACAATTGTAAATATAGATAAAATACTAAGGGTTATCTTTTGTCGCAGACCTTAACAGCATAAAAAGCCTAAAAGTTACACAAAAATGAGACATTGTTAACATTTTCTTGTTGTTTTTATTAGATTTATACAATTAATACAGCAGTATTATTGTAAAATATTAGTTCTAAAATCTGAAAAATCATGTCCAAAAAATGTCACTGAATATTCATGATCAGAAGCAGAAAAAAATCATTTTGATCTGACCAATTTGCTGGCTAACTTTAGCAAAAACACATATAGCATCTAAACCACTGGCTTTTATGCCACCTGGTATATGTTTTATGCTAACAATACTCACATGGGTAAAAAGTGTATTCTGTTTAAAAAAGCAATACTTAATAACACTTTATCTTTTTGCAATACTCACATAAAACACCAATTCACCTAGTCAGGATAGTAGGGCGAGAAAATTGTAAATCTTGCCTAGTCAGACATGCCAGAGGGATGAACCAAATGGTCAAAATCATGATTTAGCCAAACACAACAGTGAGACCACATGACATGTTTTGGACAGTGGTTCACTCCATGAGAAATAATTTCCCATCGATAGAATCGAATCGAAATATCGACCAATCGTTATTTTTTGGCGGAATTTCAAAATAGATAACCTGTGACAACCAAATGAATAGCAAATATTTATTTAAAGGTAAATAAAGTTTGAAGCCTTAAAGCCACCTTACGTGTGCATCTCTTAGAAATAAATTTAGTTTTATAAACATAGTAAAATAATAATAATTATTCAGAAATCGTGAGATGCGGTCTGGTGTGATGTAGGTTTCAGAAAAACATTTTCTTTATCGTGCCAACGTTTCAATCTTGACTGAGATCATCTTCAGGGCCTGAACAATAACAAACATTGTTTACATTTAACAAATACATTTAGGATGTGGAAAAGTGAATTTATACAATGCAAAATATATTTTTTATATTCAATCAAAGTATTTCTACTCACTCAATGTGTTTGTCTTCTGTGTAATTGTGCCATTCTTGCGTGTCGTGTTGAGAGNCACACTAGACCCCATCTCACGATTTCTGAATAATTATCGATTAACGGTCACTAATCACCACACAAAATAATAACAATAATAATAAAACAAATAATTTTTCGATTTTGTACCACATAGCTAGAGGAAATACTAGCTTTGTACAAAATAGATCACAAAATAAACTTCTTAAAGAAATGAGCTTCTGGAATACTACCTAGATAGTAGGATGATAAGGTCAAGGATACACAACTGAGTTAATAAAGATTTGAGGTATATTACAAGGAGACAGACTCAGCCCACCCTGGTTTTGTCTAGCTTTAAACCCTCTTAGCTACATGATATCTAGCTCAGGGTATGGATATAAAACATATACCTCTACTTTGACTAAAATCATCCACGCCTTCTACATGGACGACTTAAAACTACACTGATGCATAAAATTAACCACCAGTAAATTTTAATAAATCGTTTCGTTAAATTATGCTAAGGTTTCTATTAAATATTTATTTTGAATAATGGTTTATTAGCACATTATTTATTATAAAATACACTATTAGTTTTGACGCTTGATTGATGGTATCCTTTTCAAGTGTTTTGTTGAAGCTATAACATATTATAATGAGAAAAAAACTTTCTATTACATTTTTCAAAAAATTGATACACTACATATTTTACACTTAAACATTATTATGTTATTTTCTATAATAACCTAACTTTTGATTCCTTTTTTTTACACCAATCAATTTTAACTTTACATCATTACATACTTTAGTACCAGTCAGTAAACTGAAATACTCGCTGTGCTCAAGCACAATTCTAAAATCAGGTGCATTACTGCAAGATGTCTGTATGGAGCCAAGTAATTGCACCCATACACACCAAGAGAACTTTGCATGCCAGACACAAGGCCAAAAAGTAAGCGTGTGTCAACCTCACATGGCCTATTCTTAATCATGTGAGGATGACCTGTCTCTTAAGAGTCAGATCAGCCGAGGGCCACCTATCATATAAATTATTTAATTTGCACATCTGTATGTGTATGTATATGTACATATTTCCATATTTAACTTTACATTATTTCTAATTAAAAATTTTAGATGAATATAATTCAACTAACTATGCATAAAACTACTCTTATTTTTACATATTAAAACAACATATTTTTATGTAAATGTTTTCTAATGTTATTTATATAAAATTTTAAAATATGATTATTTGGAGATCGTGAGATGCGGTCTGGTGTGACATAGGTTTAGAAAAACATTTTCTTTATTGTACCAATGTTTTGACCTTTATTGAGATCATTTTGAGGCCTCAAAGTGTTTGTTTTCTGGGTAGATGTGTCATTATTGTGTGTCGTGTTGAGGTGTCAGTCTCAATAAAGATCGAAACATTGGCTCGATAAAGAAAATATTTTTCTAAACCTACGTCACCAGGCTGCATCATACGATATCCAAATAATCATTAATTATGGTCACTAAACTCCACATATTTTAAAAATATTAATTTACAATGACAAAAATTTATGATAACAATGATAAATGGGAACTTTTTAATAAACTACAAGGCCCAAAATTGTAATTTAAATAAGGAAAGATAGCTCCCTCCAAAAAAAAAAAATAATAAAATAAAATAAATATAATAAAAAAATAAAAAAGAGGATAAAGAAAAGGAAGTGTTATTGTGTTTTTGTTTTATTATTAATGTTAAGTAGCATTAGTATATTTATAGTACTTGAATGGAAGAATAAAAAGATAATGGTGAGCCTATACTCATGCTGAGACTGTTGCTAACCTGACTCCATTATTATTATTGGCCATACAAGCTTATGGGGAATGTTTAAATTATGGAACAAAAATTAGTATATTCTTAATCCTAATTAAGGAACCATTTGGTTTTATCCTAAGATAGAAGGTTTAAATGTCAGGCCTTGTCTATTAAAATGCCTGTAAAATTTAATAATAATAATAATGAATTTTTTTTGGTATATTTATATGAAACATTCTTTTAAGCTATTTTCTTACTTTGCATATTGTTTTGCTTCTTTTTTCCTTCGTATTCGTAGTTTTGCTTTTACATTGTTATATTTTCTATATTGTATATTCCTGTAATTAAACAAAACATTTTGTAAATTGGATTAATTCCGTCAAATAGATATTCTTATTATTCCCAGCTATTTTTGATTATGAATAACGTACTTAGGTTGAAGGTTGAAATATAAATTTTTTTTAAATCACAACAATTAAATTACTCATTAAATACCTTTTTCAAACATCAATTTGTCAAACGGAACTCAAATATTTACAAATAAATATATTTAAAATAATTGACTACTACATTGTGTTTTTACTTAGTCAAATTAACAGTGAAGTGTGCAGACATGTTAAATCTTGAATTAACATGTAAATTTTAAGTTAAATTATTTTTCATAATTTTTAATGTGTGTATGTGCATGTACATATTTCCATATTTAACTTTATATTATTTCCAATTAAAATTTTTAACTGAATATACATATTACAATTAATTAAGGTTTTTAGTTGAGATAAAAACCTTAATTAATTGTAATATATTAATTGGTCAAGCGGACCACGACATTAGTGAATTTAATGATTGTACATAATTCAATTAAGTATGCACAAAATACTCTCAGTTTTCCTCACTTAAACAACATATTTTTATGTAATTGTTTTCTAATATTATTTATTTAATATTTTAAAACACGTTATATTAATTTACAATTACAATTTAAAAATTTACAATTACAATGATACATGCGACTTTTTTGGTATATTTAAATGAAACAATCTTTTATGCTATTTTTATTTAAATACTTAAGTAATTTTTCCTTTTTTTTAAATTTTATATTGTTATATTTTATGTAATGTATATTTCTAAATTTAAACATTTTTGTAAATTAGATTAATTCCATAGAATATATTATTATTATTCCTGACCATTATTTGATCATGAATAACATACTTAGGTTAAAGGTTGTCTCATCATTATTATTATTTTTGTTAATCACAACATTTAAATTACTCATTAAATTCCTTTTTCAAATATAAATTTGTCAAAAGGAACTGAAATATTTATTTGGATCGAAGAGATGAATCACATATTCGCCGTATTTCACGTCTACTTGATAAATACCGCTGATCGTGCTAAGTGTGTTAAAATCGAGAAATTTCGTGACAGGAGTGTGCTTTCGACTCACTCAGCAGCACGGTCTGGGGCCCTGCTAACCGGTTTGCTATTTCGTAAACTCTTTTTTCAGTTTTTAGACAGGCATGTTTTTAATGGAAGTCAGAAAAAAAGAGAGAAGAAGGCTGGAAAGTGCGAAAAGGTGGTCGAAAGAATTGAAGAATAAACTGTTATTTCTTATTATGGAAAACCCTACGATGTTCGAGGTAAGTTTGCGATTTTTGTTAAATTTTTAAAAAAATTAGTCACCAGACTTTTCAATTACAATTCTCCCAGTATATCTTGGTTTGAAAAGTTAACATTAAAAATTAAAAAAAATTTAAATACAGGAAACCAAGAGAAATTCCTAATTCAATCGTTTATATTTAAGTGTAATTTGATTTATGGAATAACTCAAACATTTTGTTTTGCTAGAAACCAACAGCCCAAGTATATTATAAAAAAATAATAGCTTGCCACAAAGAATTCGACGAATACGGTTGGAAAGCGATGCGAGATAAGATGAGAAATCTCAGAAGTAGTTATACAAAAGCTCTAAATTGGCGCGTAAGCACGGACAACGGGATCAAAGAAGAACCCGGCGATACGACTGCAAGAGGTAATTAAAATAAAAAAAGCATCTTTTTTTTTCTTTAAATAATTTATTAAAATTATAAAATTGTCCCAGAGCACATGCTCAAGCTGTGTGAGGATTTCGACATTCTCCAAAGCATATTCGCTTCGAAAAACAAAACCGTCCCGCCTTCCAAACATATCGGTGATAATCCATGCAAAAATTTCATGCCGGCTGAGAACGTAGAGGAGAGTAACAAAGAAGCGCACCTGGCTTACTTGGCAGAGGTGAAAACTGATTTTTTTTTTTTTTTTAAATAGTCAAATTTTTTTTTACATTCTAGGCCAGACAAGACAATAGTACCTATCTTCGGGAAGAGCATAATTACATGACGTCCCTGGAGGAAAGTAAATTAAAGCTAGAGGAGAAGTGGCTTGCTCTGGAAAACCAAAAAATTGCCTTGGAACGGCAAAAAATGGAAGAAAATGCCAGGTTGAGGGAATTGGAAATCACTAATGACTATAATTTAAGCGTTATGAGATTAGAAAAGGAGATGGCTCTTAAAGAGCTAGAATTGAAATATAAATATAATAAAGAATAGTGTTTTACACTAAACATTAATTTCTCAATACAATAATTAAATTTATTTACATAACTTTGCGATGAATTATTAAAAATATTACTTATTGATTATTAATAATTAATTAGCATATATTCTTTGTTCACTGGCTCAGAGAAATGATTTCAAAGTGCCTTTTACTATAAAATTTTTTTAAAACATTTCTTGAACCAATTGATTTGTTTGATTTTGAATAATGAACTTACTTTGAAAAATTAGCTTTGTTTTAAGGAAATTTAATTAATTAATTAATTTTTTTTTGTAATATTACAAAGTACCCTTACAAAATGATGCGATATCGGGTCAATTGCTTTACATTTAATTAGCATCTATTCGGTTTTGCATGAATATTTACATGTTAGCTTTATTTTGTATAAAATTTCAAGTTACTTAAAACTTTATTCCAATTTTTTGTTATATCTAAAACAAACCGTTTATCCTTGAAATCGGTGATTAATCCTACAGCGCTCGCATGCCAACTCAGAGCACAGAGGAAACGAGCAGAGAGGTTCATCTGGCTTACCTGGCGGAGGTACAAATTTTCTTATGTTTTCTACGATCGAAGAAATATACAAATAAATTAAAAAAAAAAAAGATTCAAAAGTTATTATTAATATGTTGTAGGCTAGACAAGAACATAATGCCCGTACACAAGAGGAACGCAATTATATGACGTCCCTCGAGGAGAGAAAAACAAACCTGGAAGAGAGACGGCATCCTGTAGACAACCAAAAAATTCCCTCAGGGTGGCACAAAATCGAAGAAAATTCCAGGTTGAGGAATTGGAAATCATTAATGACTTACTTTAAACTTTACACTAAAATAATTAAACTAATTTTTCAAGACAATGATTGCATTTATTATACATTCAAAGACAAAAAAAGACTTGTTGAGTTCTAAAACAGTCAGAAGGCTCTTTACTTCAGAAGATGCATCAAGTAGAAATTCACAAATTAGCATCTCGATTGGACACTTGAACATTAGGGAGCTGTTCCCCTGACCTGGATTGTATGGGAATTTCTGATCTTGTTTAATTTGATTTATATTAAAATAAGTATGACGTAATTAATTTAAAGATAAAAATACATATATGTAATGAACAACAAAATAAGAGTGTCAGGTTTTTTGTCTTTGAGTGTACAAAGCATTAAGTTCATTAAGCTTTAAACTTCATTGTGCATTATTTAGTAAAATTGGTTATTTATTGATGATTAATCCTTGGCACTACAGTTCTTTAAATCGCATATTTTCATAGATAGTTTTGGCATATTGGTTTTGTTCTAGTCAGAAGTCTTTGCAAATCATAGTATTTCAAGGTTATCACGATTTATTCACCAAGATTCTACATCTGAATTGTAAGTTTGTCATTATTTCTTGAAATTAAGTCTGGGAGGCGTCTTTTTTTCACAATTTGTCTTTTGCTTTTATTTGATTGGGAAGTTTTTAAATCTTTTTACAATTTGTGGAAATACAAATATAAGAAACTAGGAATCGACTTCATTCCACATCATTGTTAACTTCAAAGATTCATAGAACACTTGTGTTTGAGAATCGCTCGGGGCAGCCTAGATCAAAGCATAGCAACCTGTGACATTAAGAGTTAGTAATTAATTACCAAATTAAAACTCCTTCTAGTGGAAGGTTTTCTGTTCTTTCGTGCATATTTTGTTTTAAACTGCAGCCAATTGAGCGTTTCGATCTGGTTACTGACTCTCTGTTTTTAAATGTATACTACATTGTTAACCTATAATGCTAGCCTCTCATTTATACTTCTGGTCGTCAACTACTAAATAGACACAAAACATACAATATGTAATATACATCATGACAAACATACAAGTGAGAGAGAAAAAATACTTTATTCTTGGACCCGAGTCCCCTCAGATGAACAATAAGGTGACAAATTTTTTTATAAATGTGGCACTTAAATTAATCAAGGTTTGACATTAACAAACAGTAAAATAAATTGACATAAAACACATAATACAAAATATAAAAATGTGCCATCATAATCTCAAACCCTGATCAGGGTCAAACCCACTACATTTTCACAATAACTTACTTTTACTCTCCAGACGTCATGCAATCACCCCAGTACTCAACATTCTTCTGGGCATGGTTAAACAACCCCTTCATTTCATGCCAATAAATTACTTTTACTCTCCAGACATCACACACTCACCCCAGAGTACTCGATATCCTCTGGGCATGGTTAAACAAGCCCTTCATTTCATGCTAATAAATTACTTTTACTCTCTAGATGTCATATGCTCACCCCAGAGTACTCACCATTCTTCTGGGCAGGGTCAAACTCACTCCATCATCAATGATAACTTATTTTTACTCTCCAGACATCACACACTCACCCCAGAGTACTCAATATCCTCTGGGTATGGTTAAACAACCCCTTCATTTCTTGCTAATAAATTACTTTTACTCTCCAGATGTCATATCCTCACCCCAGAGTACTCGACATTCTTCTGGGCATGGTTAAATGACCCTTTCCTTTCATGCTAATAAATTACACTCATTCCAATAAACTAACATAAAATTAACACAAACACACAAAAACACTATATCCATTTAAAAAGCCCTAAGCCCTGAGGTACCTGAACAACGTACTGCGCCACTGTCATGCCCCAAGATTGTTCACAGGTCTATGATATTGTCTATATACCTCAAAACTTCTGCAATTGAAAAGGTGCTCAATCGTTATTTTATCATTGCATAACAGGCACTTTCACAGTCACTTTTCAGCCAGAAGGTGCCCTTGTGTTATTATTCTTTGACCTTGATAGTCTTGTCAGTATGGCCTTTTCCCTTTTTACCCATTCTCTGTGTACCATTGGCTGACATATTTCTTAACCTGCCACAGTTTGGCATGGTTATTTCTTTTTTTCAAGCCCAGTGGTTTTCCCATTCTCCTTTTACTGCATTTGAGATTAATAGTTTTTAATCCGCTGGGCATACAGATTGGGAAGCGTTTTGGGCCTTCTGGTAGCTTCTTTGGCAACACTGTTTGTTTCTTTACTCCCGGCTATCCATATTTGTCTGGAACACATGCGAGCATGACCTTCTTCCCAACATCTCATCAACATCAGCATCAATCCCTTCAACTTCAACTTCCCAGTTCTTCTATCTTATTTATTAGGGGGAGGGTCCACAGAAGTCTTTTTTTAAATTATTTTATTTGTTTCTTTTTGGCCTTGCTTTGATACGTATAGGCAGTCTTTCACGTTTTCCAGAGCACATCCTTTTAGGCTTTACATTTAGGTTAAATGCCCCAGTCTGTTATCAATTTATTATTCAAGGAATGTTTGGCATCTGATTTTGGAAATTTTTATGGATTTTTTGGACTTTTTATGCTGCAAAAACTGTTTTGTAATTTTATGATTAAACCTTTTATCTATCTATATTATTTAATCTAATATTTAGATCTTTTATTACTTGTGGTAATAAGTAATAACATTGGGGTTTGGGTGAAAGTTTTCTATTTGAGTGATGGTCCTTTTGTTATCTGTTATAACGCACAAATTAGAACCATCTGCATGGTCAAATAGTCAATGACTCTAAGTCATGTAGTTGAGCAGTGAAGATACAGACCAAATTTAGTAAAGCTGAGAGAAGGGTCAAACAACAAGTTCACTAATTTCGTGGTCCACTTGACCAATTAATATATTACAATTAATTAAGGTTTTTAGTTGAGATAAAAAAGTCAATGGCACGAGTGGGATTCGAACCCACGATCTTCGGCTTGATACGCCGCTGCTCTACCACTTGAGCTATCGTGATCTCGATCCACTCGGACACAAACTTCCCATCTCAACCGCACCTTTTGAACTTTCCCTCCTTTTTGCCATTTTTCGGTTTGAATTCCGCTCGTGCCATTGACTTTTTTATCTCAACTAAAAACCTTAATTATTTGTAACAACTATAAGGTTCATTTACTGTGAGACCAGGGAACAGCCGATGCATATCTTCCAAGAACATTGTATCTCTGGCAGCCTTTCTTTCAAATAATATTATATTATATTACTTAGAGGTCTTCCTTTACCCTATATACAGCACAATTAGGATGATATATCTTATGCAAATATTCAGCATAGAATCCATGATTCATTCTTAAATTATGGATCATAGTAATTTCTTATTTGTAAAGAAGATTTATTAAAATCGGTCTGTACTTCCCCTTATGAATCTTTTTGAACATTGATTTCATAAGATTCTTTTTGATTTGTGTTAATCAGCTGATGACCTAATGCTGTGACTTTTTGGTTGTATCAATGTTTCGAATGGCTTGTAACAACAGTTTTCCCTTGTTTGATTTCTCAATATTTCTAATTATTTATTTGGTGCAAGGGAGAATATTCACACTGTGACATATTAGACTTTTTTTTTATAGATTTAATTTATTTATAACTTTTTCTTGTGTTGTATCTAACAAAACTTTTATACATGAAATTGGCGATAAATCGTGCAGCGCTCACATCCCCTCTGAAATTGCAGAGGACACTAGCACTGAGGCGTATCTGGCCTACCCGACAGAGGTAAAATGTGTATAAATAAATAAAAATTGGTTCAACATTTGCAATTTTTTTTTCTTTTTTGTAGAACCGGCTAGAAAGCAATGATTATACCCGAGAAGAACGTAATTACATGTCATTGGAGGAAAGCAAATTAAAGCTCGAGGAGAGACGTCTTGCTCTAGAAAACCAAAAAATTGCCTTAGAGTGGCACCAAATGGAAGAAAATGTCAGACTGAGGGAATTGGAAATCACCAATGACTATAATTTAAATGTGATGCGACTGGAAAAGGAAATGGCTCTAAAAGAGCTAGAATTGAAATACAAATATAACAAAGAATAATTTTTTTTTTGAATCTGAATCTTATAATTTTTCACTAAAATGTTTATATTTATTATGTTAAAGTTTATGTATAACGTATAAGTTCATTACGCCTTAAACATCATTAGAATTGTTAATAAGTACAAATTTTTATTTATTGTTATAATTATATATTTTTTCTTTGATGTTTCACAGATGTGATTTCAATGTGCCTTTTACACAGAATTTTTTAAAACTTTTCTTAACGGGCTCCTAACAAGAGATTTCTCTTGATTGTTCCACTTTCCAATTCCTACTTGGTTTTGGACTATAAATTAAAAATATCGGGTTAAGGGAATTGGAAACCACCAATGATTTTAATAAAAAAAAAAAAATAATAATAATCATGAGATTGAATCAATTGGTTCTAAAAGAGCTAGAATTCAAATGTATTTATAATAAAGACTATTAAAAAATAAAAACTGATTATCTTTCATTTCAATTATTGCAATTATCATACATTAAAGTATTAAGGACAATAATATAAAAATTTCTTTGTTTAGTGTATCCACAGAAGCAATTTTAAAGGTTCTTTTTTTAGTTTTCTTGTCACATTCATTTTCTCTTATATTCCAATAAAATATGGAGTCCCCCAGGGAAGTATTCCTAGCCTGATTCTTTTTACAATATACACAGTCGACATGCCTACTTCCCCAGGATAGGAAGATGGCTATCCTCTCTTCTCACTCCAAACCTTCCATTATAAGCTCATATCTTCAGCCACCTTGCCCTTTTAGAAGACTTCGCAATTGAGAATCAAATTTGCATTAAGAAAGTATGACTGGTGATGCAGTACATTGGGACTAAATTGATATATACATTCACCAAAAAGATATGACATGAGCTGTTACGGATACTCGCTGAGACTACTCAACCAACAATTGGGTGGTGGCTGAGTTGTTATGGCATCCAACCTATACTTGCCACGCTGTATCATGGATTCAAATACCAGCATAGCCTATCGATTTTTAATTGGAATAATAAGGAGAAAGTAAAGTGTTTGGCACTTCGTTTACAACACCCAACAGATAGTTGGACGTTAAGCCCTCCTATAACCGGAACTTCTTTACTTTACTTGTCCAACCATCCCACCTAAGTAACAAACAATAAACCCTCGACAAGACAGTCATTTGTGTGATATGCCATCCAACTCTTATGCACAAGAAACAAATAAGGATAGTTCTACGAAGTTTTCTAAGTCAGTTAAAAAGGAATTAAATGAAGCCCTTTTAGTCAAAAATAGTCTGGGAGTGTCCAAATTGCTTATTAACATTAGGACAACACAACAAGGTACTTTACTTTAAGTGGGGGTTTTCTCCAAGGAAACACCAACTCATCAAAGAAGATTTAGCACTCCCACCCACACCCAAAAGTGTGTTTAAAGAAGATGGAGCTGGAAAATGGCCTGAGAAAGAAAAATAAAATTGTCCCACTGATGACTCAGAAGAAAGATTGATCTGTTTTCAATTTTAACAAAATTATCCATTTTAAGACTTGGCAAAAAGATTGATGTTTTTAATTTTGACAAAATTGTCCAGGATGACTTGGCAAAAAGATTGATTGTCCGACTTATGACTTGGCAAAAAAATAGTTTCTTTAACAAAATCTTCTTTTCTTTTAACAAAAACCTTCTTTTAACAAAATTGTCCGACTGAAGACTTGGCAAAAAGATTGATTGTCCGACTTATGACTTGGCAAAAAGATTGATTGTCCGACTTATGACTTGGCAAAAAGATTTTTTGTTTTGACAAAATTGCCCAACTGATGCCTTGGCCAAAGGATTGATGTTTTTAATTTTGACAAAATTGCTCAACTGATGTCTTGGCAAAAAGATTGATTGTCCGACTTATGACTTGGCAAAAACATTGATAGTTTTCATTTTGACAAAATTGTCCAACTGATGTCTTGGCAAAAAGATTGATGTTTTTAATTTTGACAAAATTGTCCAGCATGACTTGGTAAAAAGAGTGATTGTCCGACTTATGACTTGGCAAAAAGATTGATGGTTTTCGTTTTGACAAAATTGCCCAACTGATGTCTTGGCAAAAAGATTGATCTGTTTTCAATTTTAACAAAATTATTCGACATGACTTGGTAAAAAGATTGATCTGTTTTTAATTTTATTTAATATACAATTAAACTATTCCCTATCATTGCTCAACATCTGTCTCAATCTGCCATCATTGCGCCAATTTTTTCACAGAACACAATTTAATGGAAAATAAGGATTATCAAAAATCTCTGAGAGGCAGTGAAGCTTGATATGAGTAAACTTCAAGTTCATATACCTCTGACTTCAATAATAAAATCGTTCAAAATAACATTTGTATTTATTTTTTATTTTGTCTTTATTTGCAATATTAACACTATAATAATAATTTTGAAATCATCAAAAAGACATCAATTTGCTACAGCAAAATGTAAATATAGTTAATATATCCGAGTAATTAAACAACAATGATTTTCATTTTACAAAGTATAACGCTTAAAAGTACAAAAAAAGCGATCCCTACAAACGGTGTGACAATAGCCATCGGCACATCTTCAAGAGCACGCCCTCTCATCGAAACCTCGAAATATGCTTTAGTGCAATATGTCAACGGTACAATCTTGCCGAATAATGAGAGTAACCAGTGCTGCCCTTCGATCGGCCACAAGCAACCTGCAATTACATTACATTTGCACGTTTTGTTTGGTTTTTAATTTGTAAAATGCTTACCGCATAAAAGAAAAGATGAAAGCATAGTCCCTATACCAACATAAGACACCATTGTCTCTTTTTCCATGAGCAAGGCGAGAAAAATCCCTATGGAAAAAAATGATATTAATCAAAAGGACATAGGAGAAAAGAAATGTTTTACCATATGCCATGCCAAGTAGTTCACAGAAGAATGTAATGATATAAATGTTATAAAAATGTCCGCTGTTATTAATATCAAACATTCCGTATATCACTGAAAAAATACAAATGTTCTGAGCCGTAAGAACAAAAAATTGTACCACAATTTGTGCCACAATTATCTCCAAAAGTGTCAATCCTGAAAACCATAACATAATTTATAATATTAAAAAAAAAAAATCAGTTAATTTATTTTTACCAGCAATCTGATTTCTTTCAAGCAACCCAGAAGATTTTTCCATCATCAATGCTGTCGAAGTATAAACAAAAGTTATGTAGAAAACAAATCTGCAAAAGAAAAACAAATTTATATATAAAACTTCTAATCATAAAAGAAAAGGACCTACGGGCAAACGATTGCACCCAAGTAAGTATTGATTAATTTCAAACCGCTGTTCCCATAAACCGGCTCCTGGTTCTAAAAATCATAAAAACCATCAGGTTTCAAATTGTGTTTAAACGAGTTGAACATTTACCGCAATCGGAATGTGAGTCCATTTGACGCTGATGTCGCAAGCGATGCAGATTTCTTGAAGCAGCTTAATAAGAGCGTTATAAGTACGCCTTGTAATCAACAACGCATGAATGGGTACTAGAACAAATAAAAAAAGATACTTTTGTATGTTAGTAAAAAAATGTTAATACTATATTTAAAAATTAAGAGTTGTTTAAAAATTAGAAAAAAATCGTTTTGAAATACAATAAACATTCTCATAACCAATCCTGTCTTTTAATTAATATAACTACTTAAAATAAATAAATATCATAAATCATGCAATAATTAAAAAAAGTCAGACAAAAAAATAATTTATTTGCCATACAGTGAATACGTTAATATGAAAAAAAGAAAAATTAAATGATAATATACAGCAAAATATTGTAATTTTTTCCTGATTTTGTAGAACTTAGAAATAAGATAATGGGTAGGAAATAAATTGTCTTTTCCACAGCAAGCATTTATGTCACAGATGCGTTTCGGTCAAAATATAGATCATCTTCAGTGTTTTGAAATTGAATGATCCAAAGTTTGATGCAACAATGAAGTCACAGTAAATCGAAAACGAATGAGCTTGAAGTAGCAAAGGAGTTTCTAGGTATTCATATTCTGAATACTCAATTTTTTCTTTTTGAATTGCTTGGTTGCAATCAAAATGGGTGTGAAAATTCACTGCCTACCTATATGCAGTATTTTCATAAAAATCTTGAGGATTATAATGAAGAACACAGGTGATGTTCCATCAGGACAACAAAATGATGGAAAAAGCTACTAAGGAAGATGGAATGCTAATAAGATAGCAGACTGCTGGAATCTCAAGATGGAATGTCAATAACTAGGAGGAAATAAACAAAAATAAATCTGAGCCCAGTGCTGAGTAGGCTATGATGTTCTTTTAGTCCCGTCCTCAACTTATCTTATGTCCTTTCCATCTTTCTTTGCTAATATCTTTACATGTCTGTGAAAAACGACCTCTCAAGCTCATCGCTGTTTTAATATGCTTCTTTGTACCCACCTCAATCAGTGAGCACCTCTCATTTTCCCCCATCAATTTTCTTAACAAAGTTTTTCCCAGGTTCCAATCTTATTTCCAAATTTTTGGAGCCATAGGTCGTCCTTCTGCATTGCATCTGGGGCCCCAACATCGCAAGGAAATTTAAAGTGAGTGGTTCAAACTAGTTTATACATTCACTAATTTCGTGGTCCACTTGACCAATTAATACATTACAATTAATTAAGGTTTTTAGTTGAGATGAAAAAAGTTAATGGCACGAGAGGGATTCGAACCCACGACCTTCGGCTAGATACGCCGCTGCTCTACCACCTGAGCTATCATGACCTCGATCCACTCGGACATCAACTCCCCATCTCAACCCCACCTTATGAGTTTTCCCTCTTTTTGCCATTTTTCAATGAGTGGATCGAGGTCACGATAGCTCAGGTGGTAGAGCAGCGGCGTATCTAGCCGAAGGTCGTGGGTTCGAATCCCTCTCGTGCCATTAACTTTTTTTCATCTCAACTAAAAACCTTAATTACTAGTTTACACAGTTCACACCAAAAAAATGAGTTTTTCTTTTTATTTAAGATTTTTATTTTTCCTTCTTTAACCAACCCATTTGCCTTTTAATGCATTTTTATTTTACTGTATTCTGTTATTTTTGTTTAGTTCTGTTTTTTAATTTTTATTTATTCACTTGCATATCTGTCAAATCTTTTTTTCACGTTATTTAAATGTTTGGTATCTAAACCTCATTTTTGAAAAATCTGTACACGATTGAAAGAAACATGCTAAAAAGTTAATGTTGCCATAATAAAGCATAATAAAGAACAAGTTTTACTTCCGAGTTGAGGAAAAAAATCAATAGACAGGCCAGGTATGTGACCTAGTGCAAGTTCGATGATCATATTTATTTATAAAATAGTACCTAAAAAATGTCCAAACAATACTGTCAGGATTATTTGATCTATGAAATTTATGATTTGTAATCATTTATGTTCATTATGTAAGTAAACAGGTGCGTATTTATTAAATAATGTGTGAAAATTTTTTCACATACTTGTCATGTCCAAAGATACTTCCATGATTCCCAGATCTACGATATTTTTCGGCGTATCTCCCTGCTTCTCCAGCCTCTCCATGATGCTCTCGGTGAAATTTTCCTTTATGCTTATTACACCGACCACTAAACCTTTTTTACCACTGTAATCTGCTATTTTTTCATTATGGTACACTTCCTAAAAAAAACATTAAATTTTTCCGCATCAAGAGGTTTAATATTTACGGTTTGACTTACTACAGGATACTCCATTCTTAAAATTTGAATATAGTGACATGCAAAATCCATGTCTGGCAGGCACGGCCTTATTCTTTTGAAATCTGATGAACAGTTTAAACTCTCTGGCACGACGACTGCTATCGGTCGTGTCACCATGGAATTTATGTCATGTATGCATGCCAAATACATTGTAATCGTTGGTACCAGGCATACAAACAAAGTCACCCTGGAAAAAAAAATTGATTTTTATCCAGAAAAATTATATTAGAAAACACCTACGCCCAATTTCTGTACATCCAAGTCCAGTTTTTGTCAAACTGAGTCTTGAATCTTTTCCAGGTGAAATATGCTTTCGTTGGAAATGGTGCGTCTGGTTTTTCTATCGGTGGGTACGGTTTTGTCTAAAACACAATTTAAAATAGGTTTTAACCTTTAACTCGATTTGATGCGATTACTTTAAATGAATCATTTTCTTGTCGTTCGCTCAAGATCAAGAAAACATCCTCCAAGTGTTCGCAGTGATACTTCTCCATTAGTTTCTGCGGTGACTCTTCTGCCAGTAGAACTCCGCCTCTCATTAAGCCGATCTTTAAATAAAAATTGATTGGATTCAATTATTTTTTTGGTCAAGGAAATAATAGTAGCTTTTTTTAATAAAGAAAATATTCACCATATTTGAATTTTTAGCCTCCTCTATATAATGGGTAGTTATTATGATAGTTTTCCCTCTCACCGTCGCCAGTTGAACAAGAAATTCCATGATACTGTTCATTATCAAAAATATTTCAAAATAAATGGTGGAAAATGTGAATATAAAAAAATACAAACGGAACGTGTTGAATTTACAATGAAAATAAATATTTAAAAAAGACAATAAATCAATACTTATAGCCAACCTCCAATACTTTGTGATATGGATCTGAGTAATATTGATTTTGAAAATAAAGCATAAAAAAAACTAAAAATATTGAATATACTTAAATGATAAACAACTTAAGTTTAGTAAAAAAGTTAAAATATTTTGCAATCACATTCAAAAACTGTAAATTGTTAATTAACAAAGGATTGATATTGTGGATAATTATTTAAATCTCTCCCTATTTACATATAGACAGTATTAAATTTATGTCTTATAATATGTTAAAATTGTTGAAATAAATTTGTTTTTATATTTTAAGAGATGAGGGGTTAAACAACCTTTCACAGAGAACTGGGTCCAGGCCGACCGTCGGCTCATCCAAGATGAGTAAGTCAGGATCGTGAATTAGCGTCACTGCCATTGAAACCCTTCTCTGCTGTCCTCCACTGGAACGTTTCTTTTATTATGTACTGTCTGTTTCGGCATCGATGGCAGTAGATACCTGCAATTGCTGATAATCCTATCTCCAGGAGGCAGCTCGAGGAAATTTATCAGCTCTTTCGCCTTTAAGTGTATCATGCTTGGCTCCATCATGTAAATCCTTCCGTAGAAGATAAGCGCTTCCATAATCGTCATCTCGCTACTGAGATTGATGTCCTGCAAAATTAGTTGCATTTTGGATTAAATCGAGTCAAATCTAAAAAAAATCTTATTTCTATTGTATTCATACAATACCTGAGGCATGTATCCGACCTGTCTCTTGTCTGAAAATATGACATTGAGGAACCCGGAATCAAGTGTCTGCCGGCCGACAATGCAGCTTAAAAGAGTCGTCTTACCACAACCACTTGGTCCAAGGAGACCATATCTAAAATAAATAATTATGCATAATAACGTACATCTAATTTAGATGTAAATAGAAACTAATGTAGATTAAGTTTTATTTACAATATAATTAGTAATCAGCTTCAATATTATAATTTTATATTAAAAGAAAATCAGGAATGAGTCCAATTTAAAAACAAAAACAAAAAAAAAAGCTCTCTTGTCCTTAATAAATACTACCTATAATTATTTAAAGAATTAAGTTAAGTAATTATTAGTTAATTTATTAACTTAATTAATTTAATAAGTTTTTTAGAAAGTTAAAAAATATGAACAATTACATCACTAGTATTTGATCTGGATGGTCTATATTTTGAGAGTTTTGGTTTTATGTAGCCACATCATTGATCGTCTTTTCATATAAAATCTTATCATAAAATCATATCTTCAGCAGTTGGCCTGTGCGCTATTTTGATTATGTACTGGATAATTTACAGAGAAAACGGATCATAACTGGCTGGAATGAAGAATTGTCAGCACGATGAAGGTATAAAAAGACAAAATAAAGACCAATAAAAATAGTGAAATGAAAAAACACAGCAGACAGGACAAACCAGGATTATTAGACATCATACTTCCACTAAATAAATAGTTTTCTTAGATAGGATCACCAATTTTAATTACTTTTTTTGGTTATACTAGGTCCAAAAATATTAGACACATGTCCAATCTACTTGATAATGCAGCCTAGTAGCAAAGAAAAATAATATTTTAAGTAATAGACATAGTTTTTTAAAAATATAGTTTTCTGCCATTGTTTTGCATGAATTTCAAAGTTATTAAATATCAGTTGATTGATTTTTTTACATAGGATCAGAAAATAATATGTAAGATTGTACATGAAATTAAGTACAAAAGAAAATTTGAGCTGATGTCAAGAACATTTATGTATTTTATCAATTTAAGTAAGAAAAATGAGGATGAAATCAACAAAAACTTCTCAAATGGGTAATTTTTCTTAGTTAGATTTCCAATACTAAATTATTTATGGACAGTTATACGCTGAGTAGAATTGTGTTGTAGAATTGATAATAACTGGTCCAAAAAGAGTATTCCTTCGGTATATAAAAATAATCTTTATCCTATTCTGCAACTGAAATATCGTAAAACTATAACTAGACCATTAATGGATTCAGAATACCCTATACTCATCGCGGATAAATTATTTTTGGCAGATATAAATACGACACTACCTAATCATCATATAATTTTCATGGATGGATCGGTGTTAAGGGGGAATGTAAGCTGTTCCTACTACAACCCAATTAAGAACTTCAAAAAATGCTACCATAATCTAAATCCATTTTTACTGCCAAAATTGTCAAGAACCCATACATTGCCACAATGAGAGGTTGCCAAATTTTGCATAGTCTCGGACACACACAATTTCACCCAAAAGCTAGATTTATCTACTAACAGAAATCATTAATGACAACTTACAGTTTCTGCAGGAAAAGGTTGTTTTTTGCTTGAGTCGGGGGCATAGTAGCATTTGTAGTAAGGAGCTAGTGGATCAATTTACCAAAGAAGTTACTAAGCACAGGGAATATCACAATATCTTATCACTAAACAGTTTATGGAATAACGGAGCACATAGATAACATCAAATAATATAAATTGGATCAAAACCACGGTTCTCTGGAATTAATTGTGCACAAAACTTTTTATCTTCGATATTCTGGATTCGCTCAAGCCAATTAATTTGTGGTGCATGCATAAAATTAGTCATAGAGCTGCTCCAAACTGCGAGACATGCGACAAACCCGAAAGCATATAATTTTGATTTGCCCAGAATATGAGAGAGGCAAAACAGAAACTTTTCGACGGTGTATACGTGAGAAATTTTGATTGACTGTTTTACTGATAAAGTTTGCTTCCGACTGGAAATGTGGACCTGTATAAATTGATACTGTGATATAGACTTTTGTGTTATGGTAAATATTTAATTATGTGTAAAACTATTTATTCTGTGTTTTTGTTTTAATTAATTAATTATGGGAAGTGCACTTATCTATTTATTGTATAATGTGTATATAAGTTTAATATTGCTATATGCTTACAGCAAAGCAATTTAATTTCAAAAAATTATTTATGAATGCCAGATTTATGCCATTGCATTTAATTCATACGATGCTAAGTCCTTGTCAAGTTTCCTGTGGATTGGTGATATTTCAAACGTTTGATTATTTTTTATTAATATTAGAAAAAATCCAAGGAGGCTCCTTAAAATCTTCTTATGGAAGGCGAACAATTTGAGAAAAAATTTTATTTTTGGATTTTTCTAAAAGTTTGTTTATATTCAAGGTTTTTTTGAGGTGGGTAAAATGAATATCAACTTTGTTTTTGATTAAAAAAATATTTTCACTTTGCTAGATAATAAAAATTTCATTACAGTCGGTGATCCATGTCTTTATGTTCTTATTGTAAGATAAATTCAATTTAAATATTATTAAAACAGTTTTTTTATGATGTTGAATTTTTCAGTAAAGTAAAAAAAATAATACAAATATGTATTCATGTAGAATATGAAAGGATTATTGTATAATTTTTTTTTCTCTTTAAAATTGATTATTTTTCAAGGGAGTTTACTGAAGTACATTCTTACATAGATCCTTTTTGTACAGTCATGTCCAGCCCCATGAGGATGACGGAGCTGGGCGTGTAGCGTTTGTAAGCATTACGCACTGTAACAGCGGTGGTTCGTTCACTCCTGATCATTTCAATGGCCCGTACAGAAATGCCAGGGCGGCATGTATTAAAAAAAAACAATACAGAAAAAAAAACCGCAAACATGCTTGTTAAAATTTTAATTACGATTGAACGTCTATCTTTGTTATAAAAAACCCCATGCATGTATGACACCGTTTAAATTTATATGAGGTACATTAAAATTTAGTTAGGTTTTTTGGGGCAGGACCTTCGCAACTTTTGTTTCTGTGATCAATTGACATGCATGTTTAATACATTTGGTATATAGCAATAAAATCATATATTAGATGTATATAATTATATATATATATACTGACAGGCAAAAAATTCTGCCCGATTAATTTTTTCATTTTATTGATAAAAGAAAATTCTACCTTCATTTGTCTCATTGTTTTTACAAATAAACATTTATTTATGCTATGTTTTAAATTGGGAATATAAATTAGAGGTAGACACACTTAATCCTTAATCCAAAACAAGGAAAAAGGATTTTTCAATGTTTACTTTTTATGGAATTGAAAATGTTTTTTCAGTCTCATTTGAATTCAGAAACAATAAACTGTTTAGTTTTCATCTTTGCTTTCTAAATTTCAATTTTTAAACTTAAAAATGTCAATTAGTGCTGAGGATGTTGTGCGTGGTGTGGCACTTATTGATGATGGACTTTCTATCAGGTATATGGTATAGCCATTGGAGTTCCATACAAAATTTTGTGAGAAGAAGAAACTGGGTCCTACCGTAGAAAGCTCGGTTCTGGATGCCCTAGAGTAACAGAACCACAGGATGACCATTTTTTGACTTTGACAATTTTGCAAAACCGGCATCTTCAAGCGATTCATCAGCTTCAGGAACTGCTAGAAGAAGATTAAATCAGTATGGACTGATGGCGTATCACCCCGAAAGAGGGCCAGTATAGACCAGATCCCACAGAGTCACAAGGCTCCCATTTGCTCAAGAACACAGATATTGATATTTTGACGATTGGTCTGCTGTATTTTTTACAGATGAGTGTAGATTTGCTCTACTATCTCAAGATTGGGTGTGAGTGTGGTAAAGATTCAAAGCCTGTAATTTTTCCCAGAGTCAACCTTTTCAACTCAGTGATGGTGTGGGCTGGAATTTCAATTGGGAGTTGCACAGAGTTGGTTGTTATTTGTGAAGGGTCTTTGATGGCCACTCGCTATGTGGACGAAATTTTGGATCGCGTTGCCTATCCTTGATGGAATCGACGACAATCTTACTCTAAAGCACGATAATGCCCGTCGACATGTTTCTTGCATTGCACAAATGTACCTTCAATGGCATAACCTCAGGGACTTACCCTGCCCAGTCCGTTCTCTCGACTTGAACTCCATCGCACATTTATGGGATAACCTCAGGGTCTTAGCCTGCCCAGCCCGTTCTCTCGACTTGAACTCCATTGCACATTTATGGGATAACCTCAGGGTCTTAGCCTGCCCAGCCCGTTCTCTCGACTTGAACTCGAGTTCAAGCACATTTATGGGATAACCTCAAAAGATGTCCATCACTTCTTGGTACACTCCACAATCTCGAAAGGCCTCTTCGTGAAGATTGGGCTAACCTCCAGCAAAGAGACATTTCCAGATGGTAGAAAGTATGCCAAGACATCTTCAAGATTTAATTAAGGCAAGAGGAGGAAATATGCGATATTGAAATGTTAATTCAAAATCTAAAACAAAATTATAACACATTTTATCTGTTGGTCTTTTTATTAATTTTTTAAATTTTATTTTTCATTTTATTTAGCAATTTACATTTTTATTTATTTTTTAGACAACAATTATTAAACCTTAAAAAACGTGAAACTTTGATTAATAAACAAAAATATATACAAATGAAGCTATATTACAAGTGGGTGGAAGGAATTTTTTGCAAGAATATATATAAATATATATACAGGGAGACCCAACTTCTATAGTCCACCTATTTAATTCGGAAACAATTAATTTGAGCGCAAAAAATGGTCTTACACAAACTCAAAGTTAATTTTGGCTAGAAATTGCGTGATACCTACAAAATTATTATTATTATTATTTTTTTTTTTTTCAAAACAAACCCGAGTGTTCATATAACTTTGTAGTTGAAATACCCTCGTAAAAAACCAACGATGCAATTAGGGATGGTTAGGCGGGCTTCGGTGGCCGCAAGGTTTAGTCTTTGACACGGCGCTCATCACTGTACGTTAAAGGTCCCGGTTCGAATCCAGCAGCCCTGCATTCCAACCCGGCATACTTACAAATGGGCTTTTTTTCAAAAACACCGGCACCCTGAGGGTTTATATGGCCTCTGCTGTTGCAAACCCTCGTTAAAAAAACCAACACTTCCGCAAGACTCACATGTTGTGCGGGTTTAATCTACTCAACAAAAACTAAACAGAAAAAATATTCAAACGCAACTTTCTTTTTTTTGGCTTACATTAAAAGAGACAAACACAGCATCAATTACAGAACAAATACATGCAAACTCAGCGGTAGGTACACCAACATCATAAAGCAAATAAACTATAAACCTTTATTTTTATAATTCTCAGACAAAATGTAATTTCTGAGTCCTTTACCACAAACAGTAGTGTCAGACAGGGAAGCCTTTTGAGCCCCTTACTATTATTATTATTATTATTTTTTTTTTTTGCAGATGGACAATTTACCTGATTGTTTGGAGGGGGGAGTACGAGTTGCTGAAAATTAAGATTTTTTTAATAAGATTAAAATATATAAAATATCCCTGATGACCTTGTTAATATGTGTGAAACCCTCTTTAATTACAAGAAAATATTAAAATTTTTAAGTACTTTTATGACAGGCTTGAATTTCAACCTAAATTAATAAAAAATTATGATTTTTAGGAAAGAGTTGTGTCAATGGAAAATGGGAGTTTGGCGGTGAGGCGATTGAAGTGGCAAATTTATTACTTGGGTGTCACTCTGACCCCTTGTCTCTACTTTAATATTCACATTCAAAAGAAAGTGACAGAAATGACATTTTATAATGTGTGGTTGAGTCTGGTCACATTTAGTGCCTCTTTCTCACAAGTTCAATCTTTCAATCCAATTCAATTGATCCACCCCACAGATATACAAGACATTCAAATATATGGAAATGTCTTTGTTATCCCTTCCAATTTACTTTACACTGGTGTGAATGTTGAAACTCAATAGTCTTCCTTCTGGTTCATTTCCTTTCCTACATTTTGGCTGTAAGCTTCAAGAAATTCAGATTTATTTGTGCATAGTGCTCCTATCTATATTAATAACATATAGTAATCTTATACGCTCTGCAGTAAAATTAGGTACATATCAATGACCATAATAATAAAATTAATTATTAATTATAATAACATTTCAATAACAATATTTAAATTTGTTTTTGTGGAAAAATTGGGGTAAAGGTTTTTCAAAATTGTATTTCTTTTACAGTTTGCACTTCTTTGTGATGGAACCCCATTATATATTATTGTTTAGGTAAATTAAAAAAGCTTTTAGTTCCAGCAGATTTTCTGTATTTTTGGAAGACACCTTTCACTCACCTTGTGAGCATCATAGCCTATCAGCCTTGAAACTGCAGTTTCAAAAGAAAAGGTGTGTTTTTATTAAATTCACTAATTTCATGGTCCACTTGACCAATTAGTATATTATAATTAATTAAGGTTTTTAGTTGAGATAAAAAAGTCAATGGCACGAGTGGGATTCGAACCCACGATCTTCGGCTTGATACGCCGCTGCTCTACCACTTGAGCTATCATGACCTCGATCCACTTGGACATCAACTTTNACTCCATTGCACATTTATGGGATAACCTCAGGGTCTTAGCCTGCCCAGCCCGTTCTCTCGACTTGAACTCGAGTTCAAGCACATTTATGGGATAACCTCAAAAGATGTCCATCACTTCTTGGTACACTCCACAATCTCGAAAGGCAATATATCATCAGCCTTTGTTAAAACAAAACAGAATAGAAACGACATAAAAACAAACAAAGTTGATGTCCAAGTGGATCGAGGTCACAATAGCTCAAGTGGTAGAGCAGTGGCGTATCTAGCCAAAGATCGTGGGTTCGAATCCCACTTGTGCCATTGACTTTTTTATCTCAATTAAAAACCTTAATTAATTGTAATATATATTAATTGGTCAAGTGGACCACGAAATTAGTGAATTTAATTATTAAATACAAATACTTTGTTTTTATTGTCCAGACTTGTTTTGAGATGAATTGATTCTCTTTTACAGTTTAATTGTTAAATTTATCTTCTTTTTTTAATGCTGGTGAAATGAAAAACAATAAAATAATTGGCTTGGAATATGAATATTGAAAAGTGAAAAAGTTTGCATAGTTAAAATAAGAGCTCCAATTTGTCTACCTTGAAGAATAATTAACATATTGGCTGGAGTACTGTGTTTTGGTATTGGCACTTAAATTTTATACGACTTTCAAAAATAGTTTTTTTCCTCATATTGATTAGGCAAGTAAAAGGCATTTAATGGCATTAGGTTAATAGTAGTAGAAAATGTGATTTAGGAACTTTGTAAATCATTGCCAATAATATTAATAACATAAACAAAGTTGTCTTTCCTGCAATGTTTATTATTAAACAAAGTAACCAACAAAAAAACATTGATTTTCATTGATTGCCAAAGAAAATTATTTTCATTTCCATTGAATTTAGAATGAAATATTAAAAAGAGGAATGATGTCGTGGAAAAACCTTTACAGGCTAAGTTCATTGAATCTACTTTTATTGATCTTCAGTTAATTATTATTAGAAAGAGAGGTAGTTTAATGGAAATCAACCCTGTTGTTCTCCCATCATTTTGTACGATATATGCCGCCGAAGCTCTAGTGATAAGGGAAGCTATAAACTACATTGTAAAGTTAAAACTATCAAACGTGGTAATTTTCTCGGATAGCCTTAGTGTTCTGACGGCTTTAAAGAAAACGGATACCCCCGAAGATCCCATTATCATAGAGATCAAAAGCATTATGCTATCTTCTGCAAGTCACATAGCTATCCACTTGCTATGGGTTAAAGGTCACCTTAGGAACAAAGATAACAATCGAGTGGATATACTGGCGAAAGAGGCAGCGCTGGCCAGAATCCCCATAAAAGAAATTGCAGCCTCGGACATTATATCGCATACCAGATCCTTATTGCGCAAGAAATGGCAAAGCAAATACGGGCTATCATCCCAAAATAAAGGCCTATGGTTTCTACTGGTTCTACCATGCTTACAGACCAAATCGTGGTTCTCAAATGTGAAAAGAAATAGAAAATTCTTCACTACGATATGTAGATTGAGATTCAATCACAATAGACTCCCAGCACATCTTCATAAAATAGGGATTCTACCAACCAACAAATGCCTGTGCGACGATAATTCAACAGCGGATGGAAACCACATCCTACTAGCATGCCCGTTGAAATCTTCCGGAAGAGAACATATTTTTGAGGTTCTCAAGAAATACAAAATCCCTCTCCCTAATTCGGTAAATGTAATATTAGCCAACACGAAATACATTGAAGTGCTCGACTCCATCTACAAATTCATATCACAAAATGAAATAGATATATAAGTAATTAAATATGCTTGATGTTGGTGGCGGCAGGGGTGGGCCCTGCAGGGATGGTGCGGCCGGGGGGCCGGTGGGGGGGGACGTCCCGGGTCTCTCTGGGCGTGTTTTGCCCCGGAATGGGGGTGGACTTTTCCAAGGGTACACCGTACCATGTAAGGTTTTTATACACGCCATCGGGAGCAGCCCGTTGTAAGAGAAGAGGGTAGTAAGACCCAGTTTTAAGCAGGGAGCCCGGATGGATGTCCTACCTGGGTGGCCTCGGGGGCCGTGCTATCTCGGCGGGGGTCGGCCTCCGGCGGCTGTCAGCACCAAGTAATGAAAGTGGCTAGATGTACACTAGTACAAGGCCAGAGAAAGAAAAAAAAAGAAAAAAAAACCTTGTTGTTGTCTGTCTTAGCTTCTTATAAATTCAATTATGATTTTAATATTTATCATGAATTTACTCCAGTATATTTTTTATGCTTAACTTAAGTAACTTTTAAAATGGCCTAATACTTTTGAGAAGGATTGAGTCGTAAGCACTGAACTAAGGAGGAAGGAATAAGCCGGAAGGTGCAGTTTCTGAGGAGCAAAAATACTGTTTCCTCGCATCCATCTGTCATCACCATCAAGTAACTTTTTAACAATGATGAAAAAATGAATTAATTGTCTTTATTTTAGTTGTGACCTAGCCTTTGATTGTGTCTAATTTACTTGAGGCTGGTCTCTCCATTGTAGCTGTTTTAGTGACCACCAATGCCCTTCGTGTTGCAGTTATACATCAATTTTGAGTAGCTTACAATAACTATCTCATCATTTTATGGAATAATTCATGGAAAAGAAAATTCATGGAAGTTGGTGAATTTAGTTCTGTGGATTCATGTCAGCCTCAAGATATCAATACTTGAGTAACTCAGGAAAAATTTCAAACAAAGAATTGATTGAGTTGATGATATTATCTTTGTGAATATCCATTATAATTTTTTTTAAATCTTATAAATATGGTTTTGCTACTAAACATTGTGACTGTTTGGCACTGACACAACAAGCTCAAAGTCCAAACAGTAATCCTGCCACAGGCACGTTATGACAATAATGTTAGAAAGATTTTATTCTCAATTGGTTTTTAACAGTGCACAGGCTCTTATCCTATATTAAATTTCAAAGAAAATATTGACTTCACAAAAAGTAAGTTTAAAATGTTAAAATTATGAAGATTTTGGTCAAAGGAGAATGTTTTAACTGATAAATATTCTTCTGGAATATATATCATCTACTCACATTTTCAAATGTGTAGATAAATGTATTTTTCTTCATTATGCAGGCCATAACCAGTGAAAAAGGGGTGAGAATAATGATTCACCATTTTGGAAATTTAGAAGGTAAATTTAAAGAAAGCAATGATAAAACCCAATTTAATTTATAACTATTTGATTTAACAAGCACACCAGAAGTGGCTCGAAATGAACAAAAAGCTTACCAATAAAGTAGCTCAACAGGAATTGGCGCTTTCACGAGCCCAAAAGAAAAATTTCAATATGACAAAGGAAATGATAGATTTAATGTTTACACTGATCTTCATAATTTCACTGTACAATGAGCTCAAGCAGATATTTCAAAACCTGCTCACAGATCTGAACAAAACTCTCACCTCAGACGGAGACATTTCTGTGAATCTGCAACAAAGTTATCAATATTTTGCAGAGCACTTTAAAAAGTTTGGTAAAAATTTTCATCCTTATTAATTTACTTTCATTTGTTTTAAAATATGTATAATAAATGCATTTTTTCTTTATCAGAAGATATTTCATCAATAGGAAATTTAAGAAGTCAATTAAGTGAGTAAAAAGAAGCCAATTAAAAATTAAAAGGAAATAATTATTTAAAATAAATTACAGATATGGTAACAAAGCCTGAAAGTCAGATGCCCTTTAACCCTTCAGCGACTGGTAAACCATTTAAGTCTAATCCTCAAGAATTGTATGCCAGAAAGAAAAGTATGATTGTTAAAAATATATTCACTAATATGGTTTGAGAATTATATTTGTGGTAATGATCAAACATTTATAGATAGCCAAGTGGTTAAATTGCATTCTAGACAACAAGCTACCCTCAGTCCTATTGCTGAAATTAAATCTCCCAAAATAGTAAGTAAGACCTAACAGACAAATTTTAAATGTTGTAACTTTACAGTTCCAAACTCCTCGCCTGCCTATTCTCACTGGTTTTGTCCGTCAGATGCAATATTTTGCCATTGAGCATAAGCAGATCAGGATCAAACTTGGAGATCTCACGACAATTTTTCACAATTTGTTAATATGCATGTTAATTATCCAGTCTAGGCGAACTCAAGGTGGAAAATTCTTTGATAAAGGTTATTTTTTGAGAAGTTCCAATCAGTTCCAATCGACCATAGTAAGTTGTGTTCACTGTTTCATATTTATAGCGCAATTTTTAATTTAAATTGACATTGATAGAGGCAGTATTCCACATCAGATAATAATAATTGTGAAAACAGTGGCAAAAGAACAGATTTCTCACAGAATTTAAAATCCTCTAAAAAAAAGTCCATTACTTTCGAACCAAGTCCTGAACAAAACATTGCTACTGTTAACTCTTTAAAATTAATAAAGGAAGAGGCGTCTTCAATTTTTGAAGAAGCAACTGAGACAAAAAACAAAAGGTTAACTAAATGTCAATGATGTAGTTAAAGTTAAAAACAAACAAAATAATAGAATTTTTGTTCTTTTAATTAGAACCAAGAAGAAAAAGTCACAAGTGTATTCACCAAAAAAGTAAGTGATGCACAGTATATATATATGTTTTTAAGTTTGTTAAATTTTTTACTTGTTTAGGTGCCAATCAAGCAAAAGAAATAGTAACTATACTGCTGTTGAAGAATCGTAAGTACTGCTAACTCTTAAATCTAATGAACATAACGGTAATAATGAATATATCATGAAGCGATTGATATCAACCTTTATATCAAGATATTTAAAAAAAATCAGGGCTAAGGCAAATTTAAAAAATATATGGCTTCAATCAAAATGAATTTACGAGTTTATCTTAGCATAATGGACGAGATTGACCACCTGTTGTGTATCTCATTAGAAATAGTTCCAAAGTCTTGATGAAGGGGATATATTTCTCATAAGCTTGTTTTTTATGTAATTTTATGTAATTTTTTCAAATTTCCTTTATCCCTGATTTTTCATATGAAGTTGTAACCAATATTTGTTAAATGACATTGATAAGTTTTATTTGTAAAAAAGGGCTGAATGAACAATTTCCTGCGTTTTGTAATAGAATCCTTCATATAAATTCTTTTTTACTAAATGATTATTTCATATTATATATTAATTAATAAAGTTTACAGAGCCTTGATGGAGGTGATAAAATCATTGTATTATCTAGTTTAATCTTTTTATTAAACAATAAATGCATGCATAATTGTGACATAATGATTATAGTTGATGATGGGTTTTGGCTGCTTGTTACACAGGGTCCACCGTTTCGGCATTGCACCATAAGAACCTTCCTCAGCTTCTTCTTCAGTGGAGTTCCTCACTGAAGATGGCACAATGCCAAAACGCATTTGAATAACTCAAAAACCACTTGTACCCAATAAGTGACCCTGTTCTGGTTCAGAATAATGATTTTAATTGTGACAGTATTAAATTACAGACACACTTGTTTCTCATCAAACACACTGTTTAAATTTGTTTACTCTCCAAATTTGTTTTTCAGATTGGAAAATAACTGTTGTTCTTCAGATAAAGAAAAAGGTATTATTACATATTCAATATACAATTTACTTTTTTTTCTGTTAATTTATGAACTCATTATCTAAAAAGGGATTGGACCTAGAAGGTCGCTGAGGATAAAAGAAAGAAGTTTGCTACAAAAAATAAATCGATAATCTTTTGTAAAAAAAAAAAAATTGTAAGTTATTTTTAGTGTATGCAATGCTAACTTAATAATAATAATTAAGGTTTTTAGTTGAGATAAAAAGTCAATGGCACGAGCGGGATACGAACCCACAATCTTCGGCTAGATACGCTGCTGCTCTACCACTTGAGCTATCGTGACCTCGATCCACTCGGACACTTACTTCCCATCACAACCCCACCTTTCGAATTTTCAATCCTTTTTGCCATTTTTCAAATGTCGTGTAATCGGATTAGATTCTCGACGACAAATGAAATGGCCATGGAGAGCTTTAGTGAAGTATACTTCATTTTAAATCATTAAGTTCACTAATTTAATGAAAAATGGCAAAAAGGAGGGAAAATTCAAACAGTTAATTAATTGTAATATATTAATTGGTCAAGCGGACCACGAAATTAGTGAACTTAATGTCTTTACTAATTTTAAAAATAATTTATTCTACTGATTTCATGTCATTTCTCAATCACAATAAACAACATTTTTTGGACTAAAAGCAATGAATTATTGTAAGAAGGAGAATGGAAAAATAATTCTGTAAAACAGGTATTAAAATAAATAAATAATAAATAAATAAAAAATAAATAAAAACTATTTTTTAACTGCATAATTTTAATTTTTCTTCTACAAAAAATTGTATTGATTTATTACTTTTAAAATTAAAACTGAAAATATTTTTAATGCATGCATGTTTTTAAGAATGGTTTGTATTAGAAGTATTTTTCATGCATGGACAAATATATATCTTAGATTTTCACTGCATGTACAGCAAATGATGAAAAATATGTTTTTATTGCTTTTATATCCATGAGTACATAAAATGTTTTAGTATGTTTGTAATTTATATTCTGATATTGTTAAAAAATGTTAAATTTGTTATAATAAATTCAATAGTGTTTTTATTTCATGCCGAGTGAATTAATTCCTATTTTTCAACTCTCAATGTGAGATAATTATAATAATTAATATAATTAAAGGATTTTATTATCAAAAATTAGTATAATTTAGTAAAAAGGCTACATGGATTTTTTGCATTTGACTTTCTTTGATACATGAACATAGGTAACAATGGAAAATAACAATGTTTTATAATATACCAATATAAACATTTTGGAAATATCAGAAATGCTATGGTTTTAACTTGTTGCATTAAATGAAGAATTTCAGAATGAGAAATTTTCTTAGTAAAATGTATCTTCTTTTCAATGTTATGCAGACCAAGCTCAGTGAGGAAAAATTGAAAATTATGTTAGAATTAAAGAAAATTCAAAGAAAACAATAATAAAACACAATTTAGTTTATAAGAATATGGTTTAATAAGCACTATAGAAGGCTTAAGAAATAAACAAGAATCTCATTAATAAAGTAGCTGAATTGTTATTGGCATATTTACAATCCAAAGAGGAAAATTTTGATGTCACAAAGAAAACGTTAGATTTAACTAATTATTCTTTTTATGTCAGGTTTTGGTTGAAATAACAAAAATAAAAAGAATAATTAATTGAAAGAAGTAACTGGGTCAATTGACAACTAAAACGTAAATGGATCAATAGATTTAACGTTTACCCTGAGCCTGAAAGTTTAGGGAAAAATAGTGCTCAAGCACTTCAAAAATTGGACACAGATAGGAGCAAAGGCGCCTCAGTTGGTGACATTTCTAGTATATGGTATTGTACATACTCGTCAATATTTAACAGAACACTTAAACCCTCTTAACATTTTGGAAATAACAGAAATAAAATGTTTAAAATATTATGCTTAACAAGAAATTCAGTTTTAACAACAATACAATTATATACATTATTTATAATTAAATATCTGAAAACTACTCTTATCAAGCAGTAAAAATTGTTTTCTTATTTTAATATAAACTAATTATGAAATCTTATAATTAATTTTTGTTTTCCTTTATAAGAGAGAATTTATTTTAAGTACTTAAGCTCAACATTTAGGATTAATAATGTATTACCATTTTAAAAATATATCTAAACAAAATTTAATTATTAGCTGTAGGAGGCAGAAGAAGAGCTAATCCTTTGAGTAGAATGTTTTGAACTGTTTTTTTATTCTTTTTATCTTTGTTGTAGATCAGAAATTTTCAATTGATTCCAAATTGGCTAAGTGGTCTGGGATAACAATGGATCCAGTGTGCATATCTAAAATTTTAGTCCACGGATCTGCATCAGCACTCAGCAATAAACCCAATACAAATCCCACCATTCTTATGCTAAAAATATCCCATATTGTAGGCATATGTGTAGATAATCATGATCGAATTTAATATCATAAGTACATATTTTGCGTGTGATGTAATTTTTTTTTTTAAATTTTAATCATGCAAAATTATAACGAATTGACTGATTTACTTAAGTCAAAGCCAGAAAAGGAATATTTTACCCTCTGGATACAAATATTATATTGAATCCAGCCAAGCTGGAATGTTTCTCTATTCTTGCTACCGCTATCTTATATCCAACTGGATTTTTATATTTTTACAGTTTTGCAATTGGTACAAATATTTGGTTTGAATGTTCAAACTTGGTGCTGGAATTGCTTGAAATGCATTTTCAGTTTTGGCGCGATATTTCTGTTTTTTGATATATTAAATATCGATCATTTATTTTTATAATGCTCAGCCACATAGAGCTAAAATTGTCACCCTTTCTTTGGAGTTTGAAGGGATTATCACAATGAATTGGCTAGGACATTCTCCTTTTTTTTATTGTTCTTTGATGTATTTTAAAACATTTATAATATTATTTGTAGTTCCAACAGATGGTGTCAATTCTAACCCGTACAGAAAATAAACTAGATTTACTAGATTTTGAAGTTTTAAAAATGCTGTGAGCGTACTCAGTACTGATTTCTTTCATGCTAATAAAGTAATAAGACATATTTGTTTAATGTGCCATTTTGACTTGGAGAGTGGATCGAGGTCACGATAGTTCAAGCGGTAGAGCAGCGGCGTATCAAGCCGAAGATCGTGGGATCGAAACCCGCTCGTGCCATTGACTTTTTTATCTCAACTAAAATCCTTAATTAATCGTTAGAATTAGTGTTAAGTTAACATATGCACTGAAAACAAGTTTTTAAAAATAAAATTTAAAAAATCCTTCTATCAAACTCACAGAATCCAAATGTTTCGCGTATGTATGCACTTCAATACCAGTTCTTGAGAGACCTAATTTTATAATAATAATTGAAACTTCTAGGTTCCTTTTCTTTACTGATTCCAGTTCATCCATGGCAGTTGGTATTTTATTTTAATTTATTGAAGAACTTAAGTATTTTTTCTCTTTATTAAAATGATTTTGGCTAATTCCAATAACCTCTCTTCAATTGATACGGTTTGTAATACAAGGAGAAACTCATCACATCTGAAGAGGATTGTAGTTAGTTCGAAATGCATTCATTGCAATGAAGATTAAAAAAAAATACTTGAGTCATTCAATAAAATATCACCCATGCCCATGGAACAATTTAAAATTTGGCATGGGCATTTCTTGCTCATTTAGACAAAATGCTTTTAATAGTAAAAACATTAAAAACACAACCACTTTTACAGGTTGAAAATATCTAATAATAATAAAAACGCGATTTTCCTTGAATTTGTAGTTTTTTTTTAAATTTATAATTTTAATAATTTCATATCTTGAAATTCTATGCATGGAATGCTGAAGATGTTATTTATAGCCCAAAACATCCATCTCTAAATATATTAAACTACCATGGAATACATGATTTCTTTCAACCTTAAAATTTTTTCTTTATTCAGAGATGGTGTCTCAGATGATGCCCTGCTTATCAAAGCCTACTCCAAGACCATAAATGCATCAGAAGAAAGGGTTAGTTTTTAAAAGTATCTTTTGAATTTAATAAATGTTTAAATAACAAAACCCAAATTTATCATTTTGAAAAACTAGATCCAAGCCTAAAAAGCAAAGGAAAAATCAGTAAATAATTCATCCTCATCTTCAAAACATACAAATGAACATTTTTCTTCTGCAGAGGTAAATTAACAAACCAAAAATATGCCAGTTTATACATTTTTAAAATGTGTGGTGATTATTGACCGTTAATCGATGATTATTCAGACATTGTGAGTTGCGGTTTGGTGTGACGTAGTTTTCAGAAAAACATTTTCTTTATTGTGCCAACATATCGATCTTTATTGAGATCATCTTCAGGGCCTGGGATTTACAAACATTGTTTAAATTTAACAAATACATGTAGGATGTGGGAAAAAAGTAAATTTATACAATGCAAAATATATTTTTTATATTCAAACAAAGTATTTCTACTCACTCAAAGTGTACACAGAAAACAAACACTTTGAGTGAGTAGAAATACTTTGATTGAATATAAAAAATATATTTTGCATTGTATAAATTCACTTTTTTCCACATCCTACACATATAATTTGTTAAATTTAAACAATGTTTGTAAATCCCAGGCCCTGAAGATGATCTCAATAATGATCAAAATGTTGGCACGATAAAGAAAATGTTTTTCTGAAACCTACATCACACAAGACCGCATCTCACGATTTCTGGATAATTTAACAATAAACCTGACCGTGTTATTTTTTATAGTAAGTAAATATACAATTGTTTAACAATTAACTTTCTTCTTTTGTACAAAACCAAAGTGAATTTATAAAAAATTTTTTATATTAGGCAGGAAGCGTCTTGGTTCTTAATTGCATCAAATTATGATTTAATGACTGCTTCTCACTTCATGCCATCAAATGGGCAGAAGTATCGCAAACAGCATGCCATGTTGCATTCAATTGTGCTTAACCTAAGCTAATTTTTCAACTTTATCCCCATCCTTTCAGTAGTTATCTAGTGCATATCAATTTTTGTCATTCAGCATTTCCAGAGCCATACCTCTAGACCTGTGCCTCAGCTCAATAATGCTTGGGATGCTAGCTTAAATAGGTTAAGTTTTGTTTCAACTTATTTTAGGGTTTTCATGATAAACGAATTATTACCTTACTTAACTGCAGTTACACCTCTTTTCCCTTTATAGAATCTTTTGTAAATATTAACGTGGGCACTCTCAACACGACACGCAAGAATGGCACTATTACACAGAAGACAAACAATTTGAACCCTGAAGATGATCTCAATAAAGATCGAAACATTGACACAATAAAGAAAATGTTTTTCTGAAACCTCCATCATACCAGACCACATCTCATGATCTCTGAATAATCATGTTTAAAATATTATTTTAGAATGAAAGGTTTTGGAAAGTTGGAATGCCATGTCGCGCTGTTTATACAGTGGATGGTAAGGAATATGAAGCTACCAAAGAAGAGCTTAACTATGAAAATGGGACTTGTACCGTTGTTTACATAGGTCAGTTTTAATATTATATTTAATGAAAGAAATATTTTTCTTATCTTTATTCCTTTGCACGATATGAGAATTAGAAGAAGTAGATATACATAGTTTAAAGATATCGAGTGGAAAGAAAGCCAGAAAATTACAGGATCGAGTTAAAAATAATTTTAAGGAAGGTGTAAGTTTATAAATGAATAAACTGAAGGAAAAAAATGAAATAAAATAAAGCACAAATTGTATATATTTGTCTATATTTTCAGTCGAAACTGATAAAACCAAATTCAAAACGTTTTGGCGTATGTATACATGTAAGTAGTATTTCCAGTATAAATAATACATGATTTTATTAATTGTTCTTTTTGAATGCAGTTCATTCCTCCACCGCTAAAGTGTGTTTACCTCTAATTGATATTTCCAATTTAAAACATAGCAACAAATATTTATTGATAAAAAATTAAGGGTAGAATTTTCTTTTATCGAGAAAATGAAAACATCAATTGGGCGGAATTTTTTGCCTGTCAGTGTAAATATATATACAAAAAATTGTNATATATAGAGAGAGAGAGAGAGAGAGAGAGAAAGAAAGAAAGAGAGAGATTTTTTATGGGAAGGGGTTTTCTCCAAAGTATAGCATGAAATCTGTTGAATAGATTAAACCCGCACAACGTACCAGTGTTGCGGAAGTGTTGCTTTTTACGAGGGTATTTCAATTATGAAATTATATGAACCCTGTATGTTTTCTTTGGCAGTTAGGCTTTACCTCAACCCCTTTACTTTTTCTGTGTAGGTTAGACTGAAAAATTTCTTGGAACTACGATTATAGGATTTCTTCTTTGAACTGAAGTCTTATCCATTTAAGGTTTAGTACTGTTAGTGACCTTGGTTTTCTTTGCTACGCTTATTATCAATTTGTGTAGGACTATTGGAATTTTTGCCATTTCAACCATGGGTCATGTTCTGATTGTCTCTATAACAAATACACTTAAGTTGGTTTGACTTTATTGTCCAAGGAAATCAGACCGAATGTGAGGAGGCCTTACCATCCAGAGAAGAATTCCTGGTCGATAGCTGAGAACCAAATAACTTTCAGTTACATTTACAACAAACAATATGTGATTTATACAAAAGGAATTAAGTATTTCTTGCTTTTTATCATAATTTATTGAAATACTATTTAACAAACTATATATTTTTAAAACTGCTTAACAGTTTACACTAAATACATTGAAGCATTCCATTAATAAAATATAAATATCTCGGCATAATTTTTACCTACCAACTTTCCCTTAACCTTCATTTCAAAAGAAAAAGATAGCTCAAGTGGTAGAGTAGCGGCATATCAAGCCGAAGGTCATGGGTTCCAATCCCGCTCGTGACACTGACTTTTTATCTCAACTTAAAACCTTAATTAATTGTACGATATTAATTGGTCAAGCGGGCAAGGAAAAATAGTGAAGTAGTAAAATTTTTAAACAAGGTTTTAGAATAGCTTTTAGAAGTACAAGCTCACTTAAAAACATCCTCTCAAAACCTAAAGACAAAGTAGACAACTTGGCAAAAAGTGGGGTTTACCAACTCAATTGTCACTATTGTAATATTAAATATATTGGACAAAGCGGTAGAGAAATAAAAACGAGAGTAAAAGAACACTTGCCTAAATTGAGCAAATTTTCGGAATTTAAGGACCATCTAAAAGAAACAAAACATAAATTCAATTCAAACTTAAATACAACAGTGTTACACAGTTTCAACAAAGGGAGAGAACTAGATTGGTTTAAGAAATTTGAAATTAAAAAAATGTAAAATTGAACATGGTGATAAATGCATTAATAATATAACAGATTTTGATCTACCTCCCATTTTAAATATTTACATAAATAGTATTAAACGTCCAAATAATTAAAGTAATTATTTTAATTGTTATTATTTGTTATAATAATTTTATAATATTAAGGTATCATTCTAATTTTTTATCTTTTATCTATAATCACTAACTTATAATTAATTTCTTACAGTATTTACTATTATAATATTTATTTGTGTTATAATTTCCGCTTTTCGCACGTTCAAATTGAGCGCCATTAAAAAACCAGCTGCTAATTGGAACGTCGCGTTAGCAGAGGTATCAGCGGGTTCACTTTTCCAATTCATGTCGTGGTTGGAGAAATCCTTCAATCTGATGATGAGCTAAAGGGTTGAAATCAGGATCGTTGCAAAACAACTTACTAACTTTTTAAAAAGAATTTATTAAATATGTCTGTGGGTGCCAGAATTTCCTCTGTCCATTTGCATGCTGGTTTTTTAAAAATTATATGTGAGTTGCTTCGTCACAACTATAACCCAACAAGAGATAACTGCCTCAACTTAGCAATAAAAATGCCAGAGAAGATACCTTCCATTTCTTAACATAATTTCCGGTCTGGCAGAATTCAGATTGTGACACTTAGGACAGAGAATATACAATCGCCTCATTAAATAATTCTCAGTGTTTCAACTTAGTAAAATTTTAAATTCACTAATTTCATGGTCCACTTGACCAATTAATACATTACAATTAAGGTTTTTAGTTGAGATGAAAAAAGTTAATGCAGGATTCGAACCCACGATCTTCGGCTAGATACGCCGCTGCTCTACCACTTGAGCTATCGTGACCTCGATCCACTCGGACATCAACTTCCTATCTCAACCCCACCTTATGAGTTTTCCCTCCTTTTTGCCATTTTTCAAATGTCGTGTAATCGGATTGGATTCTCGAGGGTTGAGATAGGAAGTTGATGTCCGAGTGGATCAAGGTCACGATAGCTCAAGTGGTAGAGCAGCGGCGTATTTAGTAAACTTTGTTAAGAAATCTGGAGTTACAGGAAAAAATTGATTTCATATTTTAATTATTAAAGATGGTTTTATGTCACTTAATATTATATTTAACAGGTCTTTTTTTTTCTCGAGCACGGTAGCAAGTTTCAGAGTCCCCTGTTCCGCTTTTTAGGGGAAATTGTTTTTTTTTTATTGTATATAGTCTTATGTGTTGTGTGTCTATGTTTTGTCTGAGTGCATGTATTTATTAGCGTGAATGGCGAGGGGTGAGGGTGAAATATAACATCATCATCGCCCCTCTAACATAGATAGCGTAAGAGTGTGTGTTCGGGGTCGATGGCGGAATATTTATAAAAGTACTCCATCGACCCCAATCTAGATTAGTTTAAGTCGGTTAATCTAGGTTGGTGGAGGTACTCCACTGACCAAACGGAATGAGTGTACTGTATGGATGTATTTATGTGTATGAATGTATTTATTTGTATGAATGAAGTGTTTGAAAGTGTAAAGAGAACATAGACCTAGTTGGGGGCTGAAATGACCTAGATGTCAGAAGCCCCAGTCAAAAAAATAATAATAAGTTTCATGTGCTTGTTTATTAAAAAATAATAATAATTTTAAAAAAACTTTATGCCTGTTTTTCCAGCAGACGGTTGTCAACCATAGCTGTAGTGTGCTTTTATTTATTTTTATAACAACTTTTTTTGCAACTGCAATTTGGATATATCAGAATTAGAAAAAATACAAGTCAATAATTATGAAGTATGACAATAGTCTGAAATGTCTTTTTATTTATAAATGTAAAATCAAAAAATCAAGTAGATGATCCGAGACTTTTTCTCTAAACCAAACTTCCAAATTTGAACTTGATTGCCAAAACAATCAAAGTGGCCAAGACTATTGTTCCTATGAGAGATGAGAAGATGCCCATGTAGACGCCGTAGTGAGTTATGGAGAAACCCCGGAGGGCGACGTTGTAATAGCCTTTCGAGGACAAAGTTACAGGCACGATCTGCGACATGGGCTTCAATAGCCAATGGATGGCTTCCAAAGGCCACATCGACCCTAGAAAAACAAATCATTAGCATCTACATGAAAAAAAACTCCAACTTTATTTTACCTGTCATCATGAATAGAGTTAGTACCGTGAAGATTCCTGCGTAGGCTACATTCTTCTCAACGTGAATGACAATCGCCAGCAGGAAACCTATCAAAACACCATTTCAATAGAAGTTTTCTTCAGTTTCAATCTAAACATACCGTAGGTCATGCCGCATATTTCCATGAGGAAACTGAGCAGAATGCAGATGCCTATGTTGCCCCGCATCGGGTAGGAGAACATGCCGTACAGGACGATAAAACTAAGGAAGTTTTGAACGGCCATGACAACCATTTGAATGACCACTTGAGCAGTGACTATCTCAAACATTGTTAAACCTGAAAAAATTCAATAATTTACAATATATCATTTGGGCAGTACATAAATGAAAGTAGTAAGAACGGGAGAAAGAATGAGCAAGAGGGAGGCAGAAAAAGAGAAGGATATACAGAGAGTGAGAGAAAGAAAGAAAACAAAGGGGGAAAGGAATATGAGAAAGAGAGAGAGAGAAAGAGAGAGAGAGAGAGAGAGAGAAAGAGGCCGACAGAAAAAGAGAGAAATATCCAGAGACAGGGAGAAAGAAAGAGAAGAGAAGAAGCAAATAGGGAAAAATGTGGGATAGAAAGAGTGAGAGAGAGAGAGAGAGAGAGAAAGAGACTGACAGAAAAAGAGAGAAATATCAAGAGACAGTGAGAAAGAAAGAGAAGAAAAGAAGCAAGTAGGGAAAAATATGAGAGAGAAAGAGTGGGAGAGAAAGTGTGTGAGAGAGAAAACGAGATAGAGGGGAGAGAGAGAGAGAGAGAGAGAGTGAGGGAGAGGGAGAGGGAGGGAGAGGGTAAGAGAGTGGGAGAGGGAAAGGGATAGAGAGAGAGAGAGAGAAAGTGAGAAAGAGACAGACAAATAGACAGAAAAAGAGAGGGATATACACAGAGCGAGAGAAAGAAAGACAAGAACGAAAACAAAAAAAAAGAAGGAAAGAATATGAGAAAGAGAGAGAGAGAGAGAGAGAGAGAGAGAGAGAGAGAGAGAGAGAGAGAGAGAGAGAGAGTGAGTGAGTGAGAGTAAGAGAGAGAGATAAAGGGAAAGGTAAAAAAGAGAGTGAGAAACACACATAAAACGAACAAAGAAACAACCAAAAACATATAAGCACACAATCAAAAACCGCTAGAAAAACAAACCAACTAACTTACATACAAAAGAACTCACAAAATAACAAATGAACACGTACATATAAGAAACTAGTAAACTATTTTTCTATCGTAAGTTGATGTGAAATCTTTTGACCTACCCGCAGCCTGACTCCTTTCAAACAGCCCAGATGACCTTTCCATCACGATGGACTGTGATGTGTACATCATTGCCGTGTAAAATGTCACTCTAGAATTTTCAGAAATTAATTTCAGGAACAATTGGAATGTTCGAAATTGCTTACGAGCCAAAATAAGGTATGACCATGGCCTGCATGATGCTAGTCGAAGGGTAAATCCGTTCCTGTATCTAAAACGGGGTCCACATTAACCACACAAATTAAGAAAAAATCTGAATATATATTACGTCAATGGGTATGGCTGCTATTTTCGGGTTGAAACCGCATTCGATGCATACATCCCGAACGAGCTCTAAAATTCGATCACTCAACTCCCTCACGGTTCGGACTGTATGGCCGAATTCTAAAATTAAATCTTAGAGTCTGTTCGATTTGATCTTGCAAGAATAAATTACCTGTCATGTCCAGCCAGGCCTGAACGCAACTGCCGTCAAGGGCCTTCGCCGAGCTGTCTGACTGTTCGATTATCCTTTCCATGAGGTAGATTGAAAAGTTCTTTTCGAACTGCAGCACACCCATCGCATGGTTTCGACGTACCGCTTCAATTCCGTCTTCCACACTTTCATATTTCTCCTGAAAATTCCAATATACAAACAACTCGCATCATTGTCATACCATATAGATACCAGTTCAAACAGTTGTCTCAAGTTATCTAGATATCGACATGAAAGAGGTCTCGTCGGGGTGCAATATTTGGCCAGTTTCGTCGTGGTGTAATTGAAGCAGTCGGTCTCATCATTGATCACGGCGAAGGGTTTAATCCTGATCGGGTAATCGCCACCATCTTTGACACTCAATTGGGATATAATTGTAAACAAGAGCGCCGGGAGGCATATGACAAAAATCGTCACTCTAAAAAATTTTTTCTCAGCACAGTTCGTACAGTTTAATAATATATTTTTTCTTACGGTAGATTTCTTTTAGTCCAGTTAAAATTTTTGATAAACTGCGCTTTAAAACGCTCTGTGTTGAACATCTGACTTTGCTGCAGGGGTGGGTAATTTGGTTCAATGCTGGGGTACGGTTTTATGTCCTGAAAAGACACAGCATGAAATAACATAAAACATTAGTTAGCAGTCGAATTACCTTAAAAGTATCTTCTTGTTTTTCGCTTAATTTTAAAAACACACTCTCGAGAGAATCACAGTGGTATCTTTCCATCAGCACCTCTGGGGGTTCTTCGGCAAGTAAGACTCCACCTCTCATAAGAGCAATCTAAATTAGAATTAAATCGTTAAAAACAAGTAAAACAGAAAAACTTGAATTGTAGAACGTCTTACGCGTCCTGTCACCGAATGATAGACTCAGGCCGATCTACAGCTAAGTAATTTCTTCCCCTGGCATATCCAGTTTTTAATAAGCTTTCTCATGCATGTAAGTGGAAATCATTCACTCAAGTACTTGACATCTTTCCAAAATCGTACATAATTATATTGTCGCACCGCACCCCAGCTAGTGCCCGGTGAGTAGCCCACGTCCATCGCTTCGAAAACAGCCGTGTCAGCAAAGACCCAGTGTCCTCGGCTTCTAATTCGACACCCGAGGTTGTTCCTACTATGCCAGGATTTAAGTACAGGAAACTGTCAGTCTCGGATAGATGAACAGTCAGAAAGAGCCAGTTAGAAGGAGGGGCATATAGAGACAGACATACAGCCAGATGGGGTCAGCTATTAAGAGTAAGATGGTGTCAGGTAAATGAAGTCACCCAGATAGAGTCGGATAGATAAATATAGTCTGATTGAGTCAGATAGTTGAGTCAGTTTGGCAGTAAGGTAGATGATTAGTCAGATAGAGACAGATATATGGAGAGACATATAGAGACAAATTTTTGATGGGGTCAGACAGATGTTTGATGGAGTCTTGGTGGAGTCATGATGGAGTCAGATAGAGAGTCGAATAGATGGAGAGTCAGATAGTTAATCAGATAGATGGAGTCACATTTGGCAGTAAGATAGATGATTAGTCAGATAGAGACATATAGATGGGGAGACATATAGAGACAGATGTTTGGTGGGGTCAGACAGATTTTTGATGGAGTCATGATGGAGTCAGATAGATTGTCGGATAGTTGGAGTCACATTTGGCAGTAAGATAGATGATTAGTCAGATTGAGACAGATAGATGGGGAGACGTATAGAGACGGATGTTTGATGGAGTCTTGGTGAAGTCATGATGGAGTCAGATACAGTGAGAGTAACCGCTTAAGAGAGTTGGAATCACCGCGTCGGAGAATCGGAAGAAGGGCCAACAGTGATCCTTTGCCTCCAAGATCTACAACCCAGGCCCACAATGTTTCTCCCCTGTATAACAACTGTACGCGGAGTAATAATTCCGATCAGTTAGGAATACTTCTCATTGAACTGGAGCATTTCATTCAATTAAACTCTTTTTTCGTATAAGACCGCTCTACCTCTTTGTGAAAGATATTCCGGGGCACAGCACATATTACATAATTTAAGCCATCTTTTCCTTTTTTCCTTTTTCAGTCTGCAAGTTTTAATCAGTTGCATCTTTGGCTTTCTGGGTATGCTCAGTTTTTGCTATGTTTTGGTTTGTGCAGATTCTATTATTTAGTCGTAATCGGGATGGGATGAAGAGATATTACATACAATTTCATTACCGTATTGGCACATCTGGCCTCTTCAATGTAGTGGGTCGTTATGATGATGGTTTTCCCTTGCTCATTCACCAAATTGATAAAGTGTTCCCAAATGCTGTAAATTCAAATTTATAATAAATAAAATGAATAATAGAAAGAATCTACTTGACGAAACCTGTTGGAAAGAAGGGGATCTACTCCAACGGTTGGCTCGTCGAGTATGAGCAGCTGAGGATCGTGGAGAAGAGTGACTGCCATTGAAACCCTCCTTTGCTGTCCACCACTGAAACAACGCCATGCCATTTAAAACACCCACATGAAATTAACACGGTTTACCTGCAATTGCCGATCATCCTGTCAGTCTGTGGCAGCTCGAGGAACTTGGCTAGCTCCGCGCCTCTCTGTTCAATGCGCTGAATGCTCATCTCGTAGATCCGTCCGTAGAAATGAAAAACTTCATCAATAGTGAATTCTGTGTTCAGGGAAATATCCTGGAAGTGGAGGAGTGTTGAAATCGTAATTGATATTTTCATCATTTTGGAAATACCTGAGGCATAAAACCGACTTGGACTTTGTGCTTTAAAGAGAGGGTTATCGTACCGGAATCCAGTTGGCGCATACCCATGATACAACTGAGGAGCGTGGTCTTTCCGCATCCACTCGGTCCCAAAAGCCCATAGCTAATGACACAATTAAACATTAAACATTACTAATTATGAACAAAATCGTATAAATAAAAAATTACATTGAACCCTCATTCACTGTCATTGAAAGTCCATTTAGGATGATAGATTTAGGTGTATATCTTTTGTATGCCTCCCTCACAACGACCACGCTACCCTCCTGCTTTCTCGACTGTAACATATAATGATTATTTGGTCATTAAACATGTAACATATAATAATCATAAATATCATTTTAATTTGGTAAGTATAAAGTACTTAAAATGTTAAAAATTGCTTAAAAATAAAACATACGTCTTTTGTACATACTAAATGCAACTAGATTTAAAAAAAGAAAAAAATATTAGAAAAAAATTATGTATATTTTTGAAACCAGTCTGTAGGTCTCAGCTTTTACTCTATTTGAGTGTTATTTCATTGTGAGCTTTTTTGGAAGACTGGGCTTTTGACCTGGAGTTTTATTCTTTAAAAATTTAATATAAATCAGGAAAAGTTCGTGCATCTTGTTTTGTTTAATTTTTTATTTATTTATTTGTTTACTGATCGAAATCCAATTTAAAAAGACATTTTAGAATATCATATATTATGTATTATATCATATATAATATATATGATATCTATAATAAAATATAGTAAAAATAAAATATACTAAAAATGGTAATATTATAAATGGTAAACATAAATGATAAATTTCAATTAATTAATGTTTTTAGTTGAGATAAAAAAAGCCAGTGTCACGAGCGGGATTCGAACCCATGATGTTTGGCTAGATACGCTGCTCTACCACTTGAGCTCGTGATCTCGATCCACTCGGTCACTGACTTCCCATCTCTTTTTTTTTAATTTTCCCTCCTTTTTGCCATTTTTCAAATATCGTGTAATCTATTTGATTCTCGGCGACAAATCAAATGGCCACGGAGAGCTTTAGTGAAGGTACACTTCATTTTTACTTATTAAATTCATCCCGCCCGTGACACTGACTTTTTTATCTCAACTAAAAACCTTAATTAATTTAAATATATTGATTGGTCAAGCGGACCACTAAAACTAGTGAATTTAATAGACTTTTTCAGATGATGGATTTGTTGGCTCTATAAAGCTTTATAAGTAATGGGTTGAGGTGGAAAGTTGGTGTCCTAGTGGATCTTAGTCACGGTAGTCAAGTGGTTAGAGCGCATTGTATTGAGCTGAAGTTCGTAGGTTCGAATCCCTCTCGTTGCACTGGCTTTTTTATTTCAACCAATTCCTTACATAAAGATTAATTAATTGAAAGAAGTTATTTGGCCAATCGGACCATGAAATCTAATGGATTTATAAATAATATCGGTTCGGAAACAGCTGATGCTTTTCGTTTAGTGTAACTGTAGACTCTGAAGGGCTATTGAACCTATCCTTTATTCTGTTAAAATTTGGATTGACGTCGAAAAGACAAGTTTGAAAAAAAATCAAATTTCAACTCGAATATCACAAATTTTAAAGCTTTTGTCCAAATAATGTCCCAAATTGGACAAAACACTTCAAAAAAACATAAAAATTCGAAGTGAAAACATGTTTAGACAGGCATATGTATAGACATGGACAAATAGAAAAAAGCCTGTACAGGTATTGCCAGGAAGAAAAAGAAGTGGAACTCTTTTTGCGAAGTCCTTTGCAGTCTGAGATTCCTAATCCTGAGAACGCAACCAAGGTTTCAAGGATACACACGTCCCTTAACAAAGCTTTGGGATCCGGTATAAAGCCTCAACTAAGTATGCAATGACTCTGCAATGATGGAGATGGGTGGATATCCAGAAACAGTGCAACAGGCTTCGAGTGATAATGTGCAAATTCCTTTGGCTTTCTACTACATATTTTCAGTACTTGGTTTTTAAGAAGATCCGACTAAACACGCTCTTATAAAACCCTTTGTAAATCGATACGATCATAGTTAATTTAATTGGTAACGTGTCGACGAAAGGATCAATTATACATTTCCCTTTCGAAGGTATAACGAAGGTGAGATTCTGCCCTAATTTATTCATATCGGCCTGTCATGACATTCAGCGCCAAACTATTATTTAAGGATCAAATAAACGCCTGTGGACTTTGCCGACGGATTTGGCCCTTTTCATCACGAACGTTAAATTCTTGACTAAGTCGAAACATCGACTGGCTTTCGAATATCGCCCATGTTTTTTATGTAATTGTTAGTAGCGCGAAATAATTCTTAATCTATCTTTTTTTCAGAAAAGTTCGATTGAATTTTACATTGTAATAGAAAGTAGTCACCCATCAAAAATGAAACGATGTATCGATCTGCTTGTTGAACAATTTGAACAAAAGGATCTTCGGTGATGTCACAACAGAAACGACATTTGTTTAAGTTTTTGCCGAGCTTTCGACGATTATACCGTCATTATCAGGGCTTTAATTCGATATCTTGAGAGCAAGAACTGCATATATAATAAAATTAAAATTAGGTGAAGCTAATTTTAATCTCGGTTGAATATAACTATATAAGTACATGTCTCTTTTTCTTCAAATAAATAATAAAATTACTTTTCTTCTTCCTCAGGTACATTAGAATATCACAGTTGAGAATAGTTACGATTTTTTTCTGAATTGTACTATATATAGACTACTCAAAATAAATGCCAACTTATAACACAAGGGAGAGACTTGAGGCACAGGTGGCTTTTCCGTTACAAGTGGCACTTGTTTTAAAAGTTGGCACTTATTTTGAGTAGTCTATATACAGGGTGAATTGCTACTCGTGCTACAAACTTCTCCAGTAGATTCTTCACCCTAAAATGAACAAAAAAGTTCATATTGTCCATGGTCCGATTCTCANGAATCGGACCATGGACAATATGAACTTTTTTGTTCATTTTAGGGTGAAGAATCTACTGGAGAAGTTTGTAGCACGAGTAGCAATTCACCCTGTATAGTACAATTCAGAAAAAAGTTATAACTATTCTGAACTGTGATATTCTAATATACCTGAGGAAGAAAAAAAAGTAATATTATTATTTACTTTAAGAAAAAGAGAGGTGAGCTTTTTTTTTATCAGAAGAGTTAGAACGAGTATGACGGTACTTAATACCTAAAGGTTAGGAAATCATATATACAGGGTGTCGGCTACTCGTGTTACAAACTTTGCCAGTAGATTCTACATTCAAAATGGAACCAAAAAGTCCTAATTAAGTATGGTCCGAATCTCAACAGTTTCGGAGTTATTCCACTTTTTCTGATTTTTTAAGATTTCTCGATCTTGCTTCAAATAAACAACGACAATTTCAAAACTAAAAGATTTTAGACAAATCTGTTGATACCGCTGAAAACTACGTTAAATTTCCAATAAGATTTGATCGGTACTAAACTTGTAAACGTTGATGAAATAAGCGTTATAGTAGCTAGAACATTGAGAATTTTTTTTTTCAAAGTTGAAAAATTTACTATGGTGATTCTAAACTACCTTCTCCAAACCTAGAGACCAGCAAATTTCAAAAAACGTACTCCATTTAATTTCCTTTTTAGTGATGTAATTGATTTTTTACTTACTTTTGTCAAAGATGAAGAAATTGATAAAGGAAAGGAAAAAAAACATGGTTGACGGATTGGTAAGGTAAAAATATTAATAATAATAAAACAAAAAATCTTAAGGAAATTTTTGAATGAATGAACTAAAAAGTTTTGGATGTTAAAGTTCTTTTATTTCGGGGAATAGTAATAAAATAATCCAATAGTACATCAATCAAATTTACGGTTTTTTCCTTTTTTTCATCAATTTCTTCATATTTGAAGAAAGTAATTAAAAAGCAATTACACAATTAAAAAGGATATTAAATGGAGTACGTTTTCTGAAATTTGCTGTTCTCTAGGTTTGGAGATAGTAGTTTAGAATTATTTCAATTAATTAAGGTTTTTAGTTGAGATAAAAAAAGTCAGTGCCACGAGCGGGATTCGAACCCACGATCTTCCGCTAAATACACCGCTACTCTACCACTTGAGCTATCGTGACCTCGAGCCACTCGGACAATAACTTCCCATCTCAACCCCCCCTTTTGAATTTTGAATTGAAAAATGGCAAAAGGAGAGAAAATTTACCTAGCCGAAGATCGTGGGTTCGAATCCCGCTCGTGACACTGACTTTTTTATCTCAACTAAAAACCTTAATTAATTGAAATACATTAATTGGTCAAGCGGACCACGAAAGCTAGTGAATTTAAGTAGTTTACGATCACCATAGTAAGTTTTTCAACTTGGAAAAAAAATTTTTTTTCTAAAGTTCTCGTTACTAAAACACTTATTTCACCAACGTTTACAACGTTAGTATTAATCACATCTTATTGGAAATTTAACCTAGTTTTCAATGGTTTTAACGGATTTGTCCAAAATCTTTTACTTTTGGAGTTGTCATTGTTTATTTGAACCAAGGTCGTGAAATCTTAAAAAATCAGAAAAGGTGAAATAACTCCGAATCTGTTGAGATTCGTACTATAGTTAATTAGGACTTTTTGGTTCCATTTTGAATGTAGAATCTACTGGCAAAATTTGTAACACGAGTAGCCGAACACCACAACACTAAAGACAGAAGCTTTCTAGATGCTGAACCCGACATTTTTTTTGGGGGGGGGGAAGCCCTGGACTAGGCGGTTGGGATGAGGGTCCAGAATTTTATGGAAGCGACTCACAAATGAGATCTGAAGGTGAATTGTTTGGTTGGATACAAAGTCAGGGAGCTTGGCCCATGGAGATTTTTTACTGGATACTGACTGGATCTTTTGAGGTTGAACCCCATAGTTCAATTCCAGATTGGTTGTAGTCATGATGTGTTCTATCTGTTGGCAAGTAGTCTTTTCTGTTTGGTCTTTTGGGTCGAGTGTTGAATTTCCAAGTAAGGCTTTTGTCGATATAAAGTAACAAAATTGGACGATTTAGTTTTACGAGTTTTACTAGATTGGAAAACATGGTGGAAGGTGAACGTTATTTGCTGGGATTCGGTTTCGTTGGGTTCTCCATTTCTTGAAAATTATTCTTCCAAACAGGTGTACAAAAGGCTTCGTTTGGCGTTATCTTAATATTCAGTACTGATAGTGTATAGGGATATCAGCCTGGTATACCGAATATAGAATGGGACCTGGGATGATGCCTTGCGGAACACCCTCTATGGCATATTGGATGGAAGAGAAG